GGAAGAAACTGTGTGGTGAATCTCACCTCAACTATTGCTTCCACTAATTGTCCACACTTCACACACACACAAATTTTCAAGGTTCAAATTGCACTGATCAGCCACTCAAAATCATTGATCATTCATTCTTGAGTTGGGATGCAAAAGGGTCTTCATCACTTTTGAAGGAAGAACACCATACTAATTTTCATCCTGCCTGTTTATTTATTTCATGTCTAGACTTCATGTCTTAATCAGCATCAGTTCCAGCTGTTGTGTTTTACTTCCTATTGTCATTGCAACACCCTGTCTGGAAATGTTAGGCTGTCTTACATTTGTATTTTCCAACGATTTACATATTTTAAAGCTTAAACCAATTGCTAGTTCACAGTTTGTGAATAACGTAGGGACAGCAAGGTGTTAACTGCAGTGCGGTGGATGAGAGACTATATGCACAACTGGGGAAATGAACAGAAAAAGAAATAAATGTAAGTGAGATACCTGTAGGGCTGTTGTAGCTCACTGGTCATTGATCTCCACCTATGTCCCAATAATTTACTGATAACGGATGCATGCAGTCCTGGCTTTTCCCTAAAGAAAGAAAATATCAGTTTTACAAACCTTCTGTTTCAAAGTTATTTTGAGCCAATTTATCCTTTACTACAAGATCAAGTACAGATGTAACAAGCAAATCAAATTATAGGACAAATGACATTAACATATGAGAAACAAACCATAATGGTTTGTACAGGTTTTGAGAACCACCTCATGTATCTAATGGGCTCCAACCTGCTTAGGGGATGTAACATCCAACACAGATTCATCTAATATTTTTTTAAGTTACCCCCTTGTCTGTCACAGCCTTGTTTCTAATTAGCATCCATTTCTTGTGTACACACGCGTGTGAGAGCTTTAACTAGCCAGACAGACGTGGATTTTTTGGGAGATACTTCAGTTCAGTGATTTCAGGTACTCTTGTTTGTAATTTCAATAGCGTCTATGTATACTTATGTAATATGCTTGTGAAAGCTTTCTAGCCACAGTATTCACTTGTTTAAGCCCCCCCCCCCCCCCCACACAGATTTTTCTAGATTTAAAAAAAAAAAAAAATTTCGCCTAGTTACGTGTGAAGACCTACCACGTGATTAGCCATACCCACAAAAAATTACCCAGCCACTAACTCACCTAATCAGCTGCTTCCTGTGTATATGACTGTACATCATGAACCCATTCATCCAAGAGGACTTCCTGAAGTCAATCTTCTTTGAATCTTCTTTGCATGGGCGCTGTTTTATTCTTGCCCTCTTTTCTGATATCTTGTGTGGAGCACTTTAAAAAAAAAAACATTCTAAATAAAATATGCTAAACAGTTTTCATCAATCAATCAGTCGCCAATAAAAGTTGGCTGCAATGCATATAGAACATCTAGCTTTCATGCATCAATTCACCACCAAGTGGTGCAGAACCAGACAGTCTATCTGCCAGTTAGTTTTCCACCACATCAGCATCTCTGAAGAGATCTCTGAAGCAATAATTTTCACTCTGCACAGAGCATACTTGTCTTTAACTTGCTCATCATGTTCTAAATCTGTGGCACTTATTACATGTGTGTATAGCTGGTTCTCAAGCTAGTAGATGGCTAGCTTCACCCTCAAACTTTATGTTGTAGTATCATAAACCAGCTTTGTTGCACTGATGTCCATACCCTTTTGCTATAAACCCTCACACACTTTGTCTGCCTCTCAACACAATGCCATCTGTATAGATTATCACATCAGCTGAAAGAGAACTGACATTAATCATTTGTTGTAACTTCTGCAGCACCTGCTGGTCAGTCGCTGCACTCACAGCCCAATGTGATTTCAACCCTACAGACTAGCTGCTGCTCTGACAATCTGCCCCGCTCACAGACTCGCTCAATATTATCAAACCTGCATCTCCAATTGTGTCTTCAGCCCACACCATCCAAGACGTTAATCTTTTAGTCTGCGACTCTTAGCTCTACCCAGGGTTTCATGAAGGAAGTGCTCCTGTCTGTGGCTACTCTGATATATGACTTTGCATGCAGCACTTTGAAGCTTTATGTAATAATAGTTGGCCCTGCGAGTATATACAGCATACATACTACTGGGATATCTTATGTACATCCCAGAATTACCCTCATGCTTCATTCTGCCATGTCTGTGGTTACTTTGAGATATGACTTTGTTTTCAGCACTTTGAACCTATCTGTAACAGTCAGCAGTACAAGTATATATTCCATACATTCTACCGGGGTGTCTTACCAACATCACATAATTATCCTCATGGCTTCATTCTGTTTGCATTTAAAATGAAATTTAATTGTTGTTCATTTACATTACATTACTTGTTAATGTAAATGTTAAGCGTTGTACATATAAATGACATTACTTGTTAAACATTAACTGTGGTACATATAAATGACACTTGTTAATTGAACATTAAGTGTTGTACATACAAATGACATTACTTGGTAATGTAAAAGTTAAGTGTTGAACATATGCATTACGTTACTTGCTAATGAAAGTTAGGTGTTGTATATATGCATTTCATTACTTACTAGTGTGAAAGTTAGCTGTTTTATATATGCATTATGTTACTTGCTAATGTGAAAGTTAGCTGCTGCACATATGATTTACGTTACTTGCTAGTGAAAGTTAGGTGTTGTACATATGCATTATGTTACTTGCGAATGTGAAAGTAAGGTGTTGTACAAATGCAAATATGTTACTTGCTAGTGAAAATTGGGTGTTGTACATATGCATTACGTTACTTGCTAGTGAAAGTTAGCTGTTGTACATATGCATTACGTTACTTGCTAGTGAAAGTTAGCTGTTGTACATATGCATTACGTTACTTGCTAGTGAAAGTTAAGTGTCCTACATATGCATTACGTTACTTGATAGTGAAAGTTAGGTGTCGTACATATGCATTACGTTACTTGCTAATGTGAAAGTTAGCTGTTGTACATATGCATTACGTTACTTGCCAGTGAAAGTTAAGTGTCGTACATATGCATTACGTTACTTGCTAGTGAAAGTTAGGTGTCGTACATATGCATTACGTTACTTGCTAATGTGAAAGTTAGCTGTTGTACATATGCATTACGTTACTTGCCAGTGAAAGTTAAGTGTCGTACATATGCATTACGTTACTTGCTAGTGAAAGTTAGGTGTTGTACATATGCATTACGTTACTTGCTAGTGAAAGTTAGGTGTTGTACATATGCATTACGTTACTTGCTAGTGAAAATTAGGTGTTGTACATATGCATTACGTTACTTGCTTATGTGAAAGTTAGTGTTGTACATATAAATGATATTACTTGTTAATGTGAATGTTAAGTGTCATACATATAAATGACATTACTTGCTAATGTAAAAGTTAGGTGTTGTACATATAAATGACATAACTTGTTAATGTGAATGTTAAGTGTCATACATATTAATGACACTACTTGCTAATGTTAAAGTTGAGTGTCGTACAAATAAACGACATTACTTGCTAATGTGAAAGTTAAGTGTTTTACACATAAATTACATTGCCTGCTAATGTAAAAGTTAAGTGATGTACATATAAATGGCATCACTTGCTAGTGTGAAAATTCAATGTTCTATATATTCATTATATTGTTAATGTAAAAGTTAAGTGTTGTACATATACAGTTAATTACTTGCTAATGTGAAAGTTAAGTGTTGTACAATTAAATTACATTACCTTTGAATGTGAAAGTTAAGTGTTGTACATCTAAACTACATTGATAATTAATGTGAAATTTAGGTGTTATATAAAAGACATTTATTTGTTAATGTAAAAGCTACATCATCTTCTTCTATCCTTTATTCCCTAAAGAATGAATGAATGAATGAATGAATGATCAGGAAGTGACATTACTGCACTCTGGGCATTCCAACATGTGCGCTGTCCCCATTGTCAGTAACCAATAAAGAGTTCCCTTTTTGATGATGCCACTTGCAACTGGACTAACCCAGCCTACACTGAGCGTGCTAGCCACTGTGTTACCTAAGTGCATTTGATGAAGACTACTTGCTGTTAATCTGAAAGGTTACACATACACCACACCACTTGTCTCCTGTTCCTTTTCAGTCTTGATCACAACATTCATTCCACAGTCTAAGTCTGCCTGCATACAACTGTTGAATCTAAGACTGGGACCTGCAATCGTAAATACAGCAAATTCTTTAGAAAAAACTTTATAAAAGTAATCAAGTGTTTTAAGATGGACAGCAAATACTTTTAAAGAACACATTAGTGATCTTAAGAAAGCCATCAGATATATAAAGACAGACATAAATTATCTCAAGCAAAAAACCAATTGTTTTAAACATAACAATATCTCTATTTCATTCTCGACACCAATGACTTTCAAATGAGAAAGCCACAAGCCTCTATAAAGTCTATGATGCAACATATGTCCTATCCTGATCAATACAGTCTTCTTTCCACCGGAATGACAACAGCCAAACTCTGATCTTACTACAACTTCAAGCATCATAAGTTACGAAAAATACTTAGTTTAAATAAGATAAATAAGAAACTCAGGTTACTCAGATCTAGCAAAAGAAAATTATTTCTCTCTCTCTCTCTCTATATATATATATATATATATATATATATATATATATATATATATATATATATATATATATATATATATATATATATTATATATAGTTATTAGGTTCACTATTCGGCCCCGAAGCGAATATTCGGTACAGCCCTAATATATATATATGGGAGTCGCCGTGGCAGAGCAGCTGGACGCGCGCCGCATATCTTCAAAAATGACCTTGGCTCCCGTGGTCGACCCAGGGTCCTTTACTTTTCTTATATATATATATATATATATATATATATAATTAAAACATTGAAATATATCAAAGGAGCAAGCAATTAACACCAAAAAAAGTAAAGCTCTAAAAGGCACATGTTCCCTGGGACCTTTAAAAAAATTAAAAATTAAAATTAAAAAAAAAACATGCTTTGACTCATGTCATGACTCCTTGACCATTAAAATTTATGCTACAGAAACATTTTGACATAAAAAAATGCTTTCAAAGCACCATACTGTTTATAAGAAACATCCATAAATGCTACTTTTAGTAAATATATTCATATCTGGGGCTGCTAAATGTTGGGCAGGTGCAGTCAGTCAGTAACATTTAGTTGTGTGTCTCAGAAACAGATCACTGCAGACATGTCGGTTTTGGGACATTTATGGGAATATAGCAATGATAGAAAAGCTAGGTTCATGGCTTCCCAGGGCGACAGGTTTAAGAAAGACAAAAGGGTCCTTAAGATAAAATTATAGTTCACAAAGCTGCAAGCAATACAGACTATATTTTTGCCACTAATTCTTTCTTTTACTGAGCAATTCAATACCAAGAAATCTGTATTAATGTTGTGAGACACTATTTCTGGAACATCTGACTAGAAACAGACATAAAGGTAGACGAAAAGAAAAGATTCTTGACAACTTAAAAAAATTCTTGTATGGAAAGGTATTAGCACACACGCTGATACATGCAATTAGAGATTCAAGATGTGAAGAAGCACTATCGCCTACATCAGCCAGCAAGGCAACTGAAGATGAAGTATGAGATAAATTTAAATTCCCACAGGCTTGCCATATTTTATGGAGTAGGTCACTTTACTTATAGGGGGCTTACTTATTTAAAGTAAAGGTCAGATCTCAATGCTGAGGCGGGATATGCTAGCTCTATATATTTATAGGGAAGCCCCCGTGGCAGAGCGGCTAGACGCCCGCCGAGGATCGGAAGGTCGTGGGGTCGCTCCCTGGAGGAGCCGGACTTTTTTCAAAAATGACCTTAGCTCCCAGGTCGACCCAGCCTTGAGTGGGCACCGGGTGCAGTCCAGAAAAGTAGAGGCGGCCGGCGTGATGCTGACCACACCACCCATCTTGTGCCGATTGTCTATAAAACAATAAGGTCTAGCCCTACATGCCTAAAGGCGTGGAAAAGGGTCCTTGTTACTTGTTATCCATATCAATATCCTAGCACATCAGTGCGACTCACTCATATACTGTCAACCGATGCAGCAGCCATCTGTTTTTTCATGCTCAACATGCCCAGTACGAACTGATTGGCATATCTTGTTCTTTACCCTGCAACCAGTTTCTGCATGCTTGTCCTTAATGCTAATTATTAGCAGGTAGTTTGTTATCTCTTACTCTGTTATCTCAACGTCTCTGGAACCAAACGCATTCAGTATGTCTTACTTGTCCATACTTCTTACTCCACTAACAACTGCAGACATGTCCTGATGTGTGCAGCCAAGACAGTTTCTTGAAGTGGGACTTCTGGATGCTGTCAACCCATTCTAGCTGAGGAGTTACCAGGGGATTTGGCCAACGCTCAACACTCAGGGGAAGGATGAGATGGATATACAATCAGAAGGTTACTGGTACTATCGGAATTGGAACTCTTTGCTTGCTGCTGAAGAAGGGGACTGAGCACTTACTTATGGGAGTGTCCCGAGTGCTGTGATGTTGATTTTTAATTCAACAACATTCAACATTCTAGCTGAAATTTGCCAGATAGGATCTTCATAGAATACTGAGCAGAGACATTGATGGCTATACACTGGATAGAGGACATGTTTTTCAAAGTTGTCTCACCTGTATCGTCTGGTTTACAAATGCGGCCTGGACTATCAAACACACCTTCATCCAAATAAGGGACCTCAAGCCAGTTGGTAATATTGAGCAAAGGTGCCCTCCTTGTACCAGCCTGTTCCAATGGACTGTTTCCTTTAGTTACAGAAGTGTTGAAATTATATGCATCAGGTACTACTTCATTTTCCTCCACAACTTCTTCTTTGACTGTTGCCTGTGGTATCACTTGATCAGGTGAAATGGAAAAGGCATGCATCAAGTCACCTGACTGTCCATCAAAGTACTTGGAGTCACATTTTATTCCATAGTGCTCCTCTAGCTGTTCCTGAAAAATACAAAAAAAAGCACATTTGTACAGTGTTCTTTAGGGGTGCTGGGAACTGGTAGCTCAAGCCACTTGATCCCCAACTGCTGCAAAATTTGGGGAAGGGACCCTAAGCCTCGTTAATAATTTTGTAAGTAGGCCAACAAGCCCCCTTTAACCACTGACATAAATCCTCTTTAAAAGTATCTGATTATACATTTCATATAATTTCAATGTTTACAAATCAGCACATTATTTTTATTATGCTCTTAAAGTAAGATTACAGCAACAGAGCCTCCTGTTTTGTTTTCTATGCCTAGTACCCTTTTGTATAACATTTATAGGTGTCTATTTTTTTGAGCATATATAATTTATAGGGTGTGACTCACAATTGATCCCTTACCTATTTGCTGGGTAACCACTATTATGTTTAGTAAATGTAATCAACTCCAGTCCTGTTAAACTTGTATACAGGTACAAACCCCCCACTATTTTGTTTAGTAAATGTAATTAACTCCAGTCCTGTTAAACTTGTGTATAGGTACAAACAACTTATGTACAGCTATAAACAACTTGTGTATAGGTACAAACAACAGTAATCGTAACTATGCTTCTCGTAAACAAGCAATTATGTTTAGTTGGTAAAGTGACAAAGATGGAGGACTGGAAGTGTCGTAACTATGCTTCTCGTAAACAAGCAATTATGTTTAGTTGGTGAAGTGACAAAGATGGAGGACTGGAAGTGTCGTAACTATGCTTCTCGTAAACAAGCAATTATGTTTAGTTGGTGAAGTGACAAAGATGGAGGACTGGAAGTGTGAGTTTTGTAGCTTCTCGGGATGACAGGGGTAATCAAACTAAATGCTCATTCACTGTCCAGGTTTTTCTAAACCGTACCACACATAATTATACATGTATGAAAGGTACTGTAGCAGGTGAGGTTTGAGGTTTTCAACAATAGATCAACATCATGGCACATGAGTAATAACTCATAAGTGCTCCGTTCTTCTTCTAACTCAAGTCTGAGTCCAAAGAAGCTCAGCACAATGCACAGGCTCTGTAGCACCGGCGAGGATCCTTAAATACTTTGAGTAGATTTTTAACTCCAAATTTTGCCAGGGCAGGGCGTTAGGCTACTCTTTTTGATTTTCCTATGTGCAAAACAATGCAGATGGGCGTCCGATCTCACTAACCAGAGACCAGGGGAAATTACTTGAAGTCCAAGTCCACGTGTAAAAAATCCCAGCCCTTACCGGGGATTGAACCCAGAACCTCTAGCACTCGAGGCGGACACCATGCCTCGAGACCACACAGCCCCCACCCCCCGTAGCAGGTGATAATAATGATTCTTCTACTGCAGTGACCCTTAAAAGGGTGGCTGGCATGTTGTGTTGTTGCGATATCTACGCCTTTAGACCCAACACATCCAATATCAGCAAACCACCCAATTAGTTGCCCTTTGCAATATTCTTGTCGGGGAGGAGGCAGTGACCCCCCCCCCCTAAATGGGGGCGCCGCGTTAGTGCAGTCGATAAGAGGCTCACTTTCAAATCCAGCTGCGACTCGCTGCAGCCCACGGTCGGTGTTTCAAAACCGGGCGGGTCCCGGGGTTTACCCAGCCTCTAGGAAATGGGTACCAAAGTTGACACTCTGGTGTAAATGGAGAAACGTCGCTGTAGCTACAGAATTACGAGCGAATGGCGACACGGGCGGACAGTTCTTATCAGCTGTCCGTACTGGTGGCAGAACACTTATGCAATGACACTGGTTCACGTCTCCCGACTTTACTTTTATCTAAACAGGGAACGAGAAATAATAAAAAGCAAAGACACTAACTTGCTGCTGAGATGGTGACCTGTCGGGACTTACAAGCCACTTGACTTCTTCTGGTGATTTCATTAATTTACTCTGCAAAGTGAACACAATACTGCAGATAGCTCAACTGAATAACATCCTGCATGTGATAAACATATTTAGTTCTAGCAGTTAACAGAATCTTCAATAAGACCCTCCCTCACCCACACAGGACTGCATGTTACAACAGGCTAGAAACTTGGTGTAGAAGTCAAGTAAAGGTCCCTTTTCAACGCTTTCAGGCGAACTGGGAATATAGGGCTAGGCCTATATTTTCAATAGACCAATTGGCACTAGGTGGGTGATGTGGTCAGCGTCACGCCAGCCGCCTTTACTTCCCGGGACTGCACCTGGTACCCACTCAAGGCTGGGTCAATCTGGAAGTCATGGTCATTTTTGAAAAAAGTCCGGCTCTGTCAGGTCGTGAACCCACGACCTTCTAATCCGAAGGAGGGCATCTAGCGGCCAACGCCAGGGCGACTCCCAGAAACTTGGTGTAGCTATTTAAATTATGTGCCATCTCCACAAGGAAGGTTGGCTATAGTGCACCCACCGCTGTCTTTGCAAATTTTACATGGTGAGGCCCCAATCTCTTTTACTAATTTTTTTTTTTTAAATTAACCGACCACCCAGGGAAACAAACCCAAGGAATCAAGGATCATGAAATCTGCTAATCTCTCAGCCATGGAGTCACACAGTGTAGCCATTAGAAGTGCCCTAAAGTGTAAGGGTATCTGTGGCTAAGTGATTAAGCTGCTTGCCTTGAATCCTGAAGGTCTTGGGTTCACTTCAAAGACATTTCTTGGTTTCTGTTTTAAGCATGGCCATTGAGTTAACCGTATGTGTCGATTCCTCCCCACCAAATATATGGTTGACACATTCCGTTTCTGGGGACAGCTTTTATCGAGTTTGCTCTCTAGACAGTTGCAAGGGCTGCTGACGAGATTCTGTCTCTTCCCGAGTGGACCGCCGCGATCAAAACATTGCGAAGGCAGCGTGGTCGAGGCTGCCAAAACTATCGGTCATTATCCCGCCCCGACACAGCACAACCACAATACACGCTGTTCCCACGAAAAACACATAATATCCTGCGTTGGAAATGCGCATAAAATAGCAGTCCATTATTATAGAACAGAATAATCCGAGAGAAATGACAGCCAGCGAAAATAAACACAGCTGCTGTCCGCCATTTTGAAAACGGAAGTCCGGTTTCTGTTTTAAGCTGGACCAACATGGGAGCCAAGTTAAATTTTTTTCTTAATTTTAATAAACGCACATCTTGATGTGGATTTGAACCTAAGACCTCCAGGAGTGCAAGAGTGCCTAGCTGCTGGGCTTCTGTGGCTCTCAAAAGTTAGTTATTCCAGATTAAAAGCTGATGCATAGCATCCCTTGAAGTCTTGTTCTGCAATGAGAAACACAACAGTCTAATGATAATGCACATCAGTCATTATTTCGGGGTCCATAGGTAGGATGTAGAGACCAATTGCCCCCTTCTTAATAAGCTTGCTGTAAAAGCATGGAAGTGCATCTGCTGAGACTCAAGAAACCAACACTCTGTATATGAATAAGCCAGATCTGTGAAACAAATGTGCATGAAAAACTCAAGTTCTGAAATAGGAGTGGAAGTCCAGAAGTGGACAAACAAGCAGGACTTTCCACTGGAGTTTACAGCCGGTGAACACACAAAAAAAATCTTTGTGTGCCAAGCCAAAAAAGTATGACATCTCAAACAGTGCCATGCCAATAAGTATGACATCTCATACAGTGCCAGGCCAATAAGTATGACATCTCAAACAGTGCCATGCCAATAAGTATGACATCTCAAACAGTGCCATGCCAATAAGTATGACATCTCATACAGTGCCAGGCCAATAAGTATGACATCTCAAACAGTGCCATGCCAATAAGAATGACTTCTCATACAGAGCCATGCCAATAAGTATGACATCCCATACAGTGCCATGCCAATACGTCTGACATCTCATACAGTGCCATGCCAATAAGTAAAAAAGGTAAAGGTAAAGTCAGGAGATGTAAACCAGCGTCAATGCACACATTTATAAACCATAAGTGCTCTGCCACCAGTACAGACAGCTGATAAAAATAACTGTCCGCCTGTGTCGGCGTCTGCACGCAACTCCGTAGCTACTGGGACGTTCCTCCATTTACCCCAGAGTGTTAACTCTGGTACCCATTTCCCAGAGACTAGGTGAACCCTGGGAACCGCTTGGTTCCGAACACTGACCGTGTGGTGCAATGAGTCACAGCTGGATTTGAAAGCGAGTCTCCTATCGACTGCGCGAACGCAGCTCCTATGCGTATGGTTGATTCTTAGTTATACTTGGGAAATTATGAAATAAAATTCTTGCCTACCTAATATGTGGCAAATGACCTTTATTCCTTTCAACACACATACGCCCTTTCAAGAAAAGAAGGAAGAAAGAAAGAGAGAAGGAAAAAAGGAAGTAAAATAGGAAGAAATAAAGAAAAGGAAAGACAGAAAGAAAGTGGAAGAAGAAAAAGAAAGACAAAATAAGTATGGGATCTCATACAGTGGATGCCCAAAACAGTGCCATGTCAATATGATGTTATCTCAAACAGTGCCATGCCAATAAATATGCCATCTCAAACAGTGCCATGCCAATAAATATGCCATCTCAAACAGTGCCATGCCAATAAATATGCCATCTCAAACAGTGCCATGCCAATAAATATGCCCTCTCAAACAGCGCCATGCCTATAAATATTACATCTCAAACAGCGCCATGCCAATGAAAATGCCATCTCAAACAGCGCCATGCCTATAAATATTACATCTCAAACAGCGCCATGCCAATGAAAATGCCATCTCAAACAGCGCCATGCCTATAAATATTACATCTCAAACAGCGCCATGCCAATGAAAATGCCATCTCAAACAGTGCCATGCCAATAAATATGCCCTCTTAAACAGCGCCATGCCTATAAATATTACATCTCAAACAGTGCCATGCCAATGAAAATGCCATCTCAAACAGTGCCATGCCAATAAATATGCCATCTCAAACAGCGCCATGAAAATAAATATGCCATTTCAAACAGTGCCATACCAATAAATATGCCATCTCAAACAGTGCCATGCCAATAAATATGCCATCTCAAACAGTGCCATGCCAATAAATATGCCATCTCATACAGTGACATGCCCAAAACAGTGGCCATGTCAATATGATGCCATCTCAAACAGTGCCATGCCAATAAATATACCATCTCAAACAGTGCCATGCTAATAAATATGCCATCTCAAACAGTGCCATGCCAATAAATATGCCATCTCAAACAGTGCCATGCTATTAAATATGCCATCTCAAACAGTGGCAAGCCAATAAAGATGCCATCTCAAACAGTGCCATGCCAATAAATATGCCATCTCAAACAGTGGCATGCTATTAAATATGCCATCTCAAACAGTGGCAAGCCAATAAAGAAACGATCTCAAACAGTGCCATGCCAATAAATATGCCATCTCAAACAGTGGCATGCTATTAAATATGCCATCTCAAACAGTGGCAAGCCAATAAATATGCCATCTCAAACAGTGGCATGCTATTAAATATGCCATCTCAAACAGTGGCAAGCCAATAAATATGCCATATCAAACAGTGGCAAGCCAATAAAGATGCCATCTCAAACAGTGGCAAGCCAATAAAGATGCCATCTCAAACAGTGGCAAGCCAATAAAGATGCCATCTTAAACAGTGCCATGCTAATAAATATGCCATCTCAAACAGTGCTATGCCAATAAATATGCCATCTCAAACAGTGGCATGCTATTAAATATGCCATCTCAAACAGTGGCAAGCCAATAAAGATGCCATCTCAAACAGTGCCATGCCAATAAATATGCCATCTCAAACAGTGGCATGCTATTAAATATGCCATCTCAAACAGTGGCAAGCCAATAAAGATGCCATCTCAAACAGTGGCATGCCAATAAATATGCCATCTCAAACAGTGCCATGCTATTAAATATGCCATCTCAAACAGTGGCAAGCCAATAAAGATGCCATCTCAAACAGTGGCAAGCCAATAAAGATGCCATCTCAAACAGTGGCATGCCAATAAATATGCCATCTCAAACAGTGCCATGCTATTAAATATGCCATCTCAAACAGTGGCAAGCCAATAAAGATGCCATCTCAAACAGTGGCAAGCCAATAAAGATGCCATCTCAAACAGTGGCAAGCCAATAAAGATGCCATCTCAAACAGTGCCATGCCCGATAAGCATGGACTCTCAAAGAATCTCCAGAATCATGCACCAATGTTCTAACACTAGCCATCCAGGTATTTCTCTCTTCTACTGCCTGTTTCTATCTTGCACCCGCTGTCACTTAGTTATCATATTTATTCTTATAAGTTTGGTCAACTTCAGTAGGCATACAGAAAACTACTTAATGTTAATTTTCTTAGAATAACCACAAAAGCTAAAAGAAAGCTGGCATTGGTTCTGCAAAATTATGGAAAGAACATGCAAACTAATTTGGTCAACTCACCTCAAATGTTTGATGTGGAAGCTCAAACATGTTAGTGTCACTGTCAGTGTTGTTTAGAAAGCTGTCAAAGTGTTCTGTGATGAGATGATTGTCAGAAGTAAACTTTCAGCACTTTCATCATATCCGAAATATTTTATTACTTATGCTATTCACACACAGGCACACACACATACACAAAACTCCATAGCCACTGAAAAGAATATAATTCTGTCATAAGTGTGACATTCAAAATCCTAGTAATTTAATGAGTGAAACTTCAAATTGCACTCAAGAATACTATAGTGTTCAACTAATCAATAGACAGTCCATTTGCATCAATAGTTTTTAGGCATATGGGATTTCCTGTCAACTAATTTTGAAAACTATAATTTCAGCATTTATAGAGTATGGTGTGGCAGGGTGTTAAAATGTCTATCCGACAAGCCATAAGCATATGTTTGATTCTCAGTTATACTTGGGAAATGATGAAATAAAATCCTTGCCCACACACTATGTGGTAACAGACCTTCATTCCTTAATCCATATCAACACACATACACCCTTTTAAGAAAAGAAGACAGAAAGAAAGAGAGAAGAAGAAAGAGAACTAAAATAGGAAGAAATAAAGAAAAGGAAAGACAGAAAGTGGAAGAAGAAAAAAGAAACCAAAAAAAAAAAAAGAAAAAAAAAAAATACAGAAAGAAAATGCAAAGGAGAAGGAATACAAAGTAGTAGAAAAAAAAGAACATAAGAAGTAGAAACTAGTTATAAACATGCAAAGTTAAAAAACTAAAAAAAAATTCACTAATGTTTATATAAAAGTCTAACAACAAATTCCCAATTCACCTCATGGCTTGTAAATAGTTTTTGACGGGACAATGAACAAGCAAATAGAAAATTTAACTGAGCCCCTGAAAATGTAGATATTATAATTAGGGCATACTTCCCAGAAATGAAAGCACTCACATAAAGAGGTTACGAAAAGACTTGGAATGAAAAGAGCATTGCTGAGGGAAATGAAAAGAGACAACTGTCTCTATATTTTTGAAATATTGAAAGATATTTAAAGACCACTCTCTCAAAAAAAACCCTACTGGAGAGAAATGTTGAAGCAAAGTTTGTAAAAGGCACACAGTGATACAAGTGGGAGGATAATATCAAGAGACTAACAGCAGTCTCAGAAAATGCACATCTGTTGCAAAAGACAAAGTGATCTGGAGATCTAGTTCTTTTAACTTTCATTGTGGAAATGATACCTGAGCAAATGACATTCATTTTCTAAAACAGCTTCTACTTCACATTTTTTTACCACTTTTGGGTTGAACAAGAAAAAGATTGTTTCTTGCTCTTCTGGCTGCATCACTGACACATCATGCTGTTGTAGTTTCTCTAACATTATCTTTCTATCTTGTTCTATCTTTCTGCTCTATGTCCTCCTCCTCTTTTTTTGGGGGGTTAAAGTATGCCATGTATGTATTTAGAACGGGTTCTGTGCCAAATTGTTCTCTTATGATCATATTCCTGATTATATCTAAAGCTGCCACTGGTATCTACCTGATCCATCAATAACCACTGACTCCGCTGACATAATCCACTGCCATCCATCAGAGCTATCTTCATCCACACTCAGGCTGGAAGATGGTGCTGAAGAGTCCTGCGATTCTTGGCTGGGTTGTGTCTTTGGCTTTGGACGTTTAAACTGAAATGCAGAGTTGTCATTCAGGTCTGATGTGGAGTCAATAGTCGGAGATGACAATGTGAGGCGACGGGAGATGTTTCTTGAGAAGACTTCACTATCTCGCTGTAATACAATTACGATAAGGTCATTTCCCAAAAAGAAACACGTTAATGTCATATAATAATATACTAATTACAGTGTCTCCACCACTGCCGGTCTTAAGCCTGAATGAGAAAAGAGGATGAATGGTCCAGCTACGCCGCCCTATAAAAACTATGCCAAAGAAACTGGCATCTGCACAGGATATAGCAGACCTGAGACTTATAACAGCATGATTGAATGAATATGATGAATTTTAGTAGTTCTTCTGTCTCAGGCTTAAAGGTCATGAGTACAGTTTTATAATACCAACGTTCAGAGTCAGTGATTTAGCAGCTGGTTGCATTAGGCTGATTTCATGAAGAGTATGAATAAGCACTGGTCATACGGAAGCAATGGCAAACTAGTGAATGTAAAAACTGTTAGGTTGAAAAAATAATTTTTTTTTAAAATAACGACAAGCAGCCAAAAAATGCTGGTGTTAATTGCGATATCTTGCAAAGTATATACAAATTAACATTTAATCATAGTACTAAATAGATTATATTAAATTGTTTACCATTTGGCATGATCAATACAGAATCTGCCAAATAATACATTTATACTTCAGCATACCCATCTGAGTTCTGGGGCCTGCTGTGTGGAATTCTTAACAGATCCTACTGCCTCCCTATAAAAAGCATGTCATAAGAGCTAATTGGGAGCTTCCTTTCAAGTCAGTGATGTTTGAGAGGCAAAGAACCAACAGTCTGCACACAACACTCACGTTCTGGAGCAGAAATTGGACGAATAACCAGAACTTTCCGCCAGAGTTTACAGTTGGTGAACATGAAGAAGATGACAAATAAGTCAGATCTGTTAAATAAATGTGCACACAACACTTAGGTTCGGGACAAGATTAAAGTCTGGAGTTGTAAGAACAACCAGAACTTTCCACCGGAGTTTACAGCCAGCGAACGTGAAGAAAAAGAATTCAGGAAAAGTAAAACCTACATGAACATTTGTAAATTAAAGGGCCCTTTTCATGTCATAGGGAGAAAAGGCCTATAGTGCTTATTTTTACAGATCAATCGGTACTTGATGGGTGACATGGTCAACATCATCATGCTGGCCGCCTTTACTTCCCAGGATCTTACCTGGTACCAAGATTAAGCTGAGAGTCAAGTCAATTTATCACTAAAAAAATAAAAAATAAAAGCATCCTGATCTGATTTTAACCATAGACCTTAGAGCCAGCAGGTGAATATCTAGCAACTGAGCTCAGCGGCTCCTATACAGATTATTATACCAAGATTCCAGACATACAGGGATGTATACAATCATCTACCAGTGACTTTTACAATTATCGGAGATGCTCAAAGTAGTTACCATTAGCGTCCTGACACACATTATAACGTCAAACTGCTCGGGTAGCATCCACCGTGTGCAGTGGGATTACTGTTCATGCCATTTTCATCACACATCCATGCAAGTATTGATATATTACCCAGAGATCACAATCTATACATTGCTACAGCAGGATATTTTGCAAATATTTTGGTTAAACAAGTTCACAAATGAAGAAATGTGGAAGAAAACTAAGTCTTCATTGCTGGTAAATGTTATCGAAGGAAGAAAATGGAGATGGTTTGGACATGCTTGTAGAATGCTTCATGAAACATTGGCAAAGATAGCACTCCAGTGGACAGCAGAAGAAAAAAATAAAGAGATATTGGAGGCCAAAGAAAACCTGGAGAAGGACACTAGAAAGGAAATTGTAGGACTGTACTATGGTAAAGCGGCTAGGCTCTTGCCTGCAGATCTAAAGGTCATGGGTTTGAATCTGAATGAAGCCTGACTTTTTTCAAAAATGACACTGGCTCTCAGGGCGAACCAGCCTTAAATGGGTACCAGGTAAAGTCCTAGGAAGTAAAGGTGTCCGGCGTGATGCTGACCACATCACCCACAAGTGCTGAATGGTCTATAGAATATAGGTCTAGCTCTTCTTGCCCAATACAACTGAAGGTGTGGAAAAGGGTCCTTTACTTTCTAAATTTACATCTGATACTATTAGCAGACTGGCAGCAGACTGGCAGCAAAGAAGAATATGTGTGAGTGCCTTATATGTCACTAGCGAAATAAAGAGGACATAGAATGATGATGATAGTATAAAAGATCTTTATATAGATGTAAAAAGAAAACAATCAAACACTTACGCTGTCTTCAGAGTGCACTGCAAGAAATTCTTTCCTCCAAGTTTCTGGAGAAACAAATTAACAACTCATAAAATCCTCAATGTTCTGTTGTGCAATCAAGCAAAGGCACCTTTTTACACAAGTTGGACCTAAGGAATATGATGCCAGACTCTTTTTTATTTTATATAGATCAACTGTCACTGGGAGGGTGATGTGGTCAACATTGTCTCTGGGAGGGTGATGTGGTCAACACTGTCTCTGAGAGGGTGACGTGGTCAACACTGTCTCTGAGAGGGTGACGTGGTCAACACTGCCACTGGGAGGGTGATGTGGTCAACACTGTCTCTGGGAGGGTGACGTGGTCAACACTGCCACTGGGAGGGTGATGTTTTCAACATTGTCTCTGGGAGGGTGACGTGGTCAACACTGCCACTGGGAGGGTGATGTGGTCAACATTGTCTCTGAGAGGGTGATGTGGACAACACTGCCACTGGGAGGGTGATGTTTTCAATATTGTCCTGGGAGGGTGATGTGGTCAACACTGCCACTGGGAGGGTGACGTGGTCAACATTGTGTCTGGGAGGGTGATGTGGTCAACACTGCCACTGGGAGGGTGATGTTTTCAACATTGTCTCTGGGAGGGTGACGTGGTCAACACTGCCACTGGGAGGATGATGTGGTCAACATTGTCTCTGGGAGGGTGACATGGTCAACATTGTGTCTGGGAGGGTGATGTGGTCAACACTGCCACTGGGAGGGTGATGTTTTCAACAATGTCTCTGGGAGGGTGATGTGGTCAACATTGTCTCTGGGAGGGTGATGTGGTCAACACTGTCACTGGGAGGGTGACATGGTCAACACTGCCACTGGGGGGGGGGGGGGGGGGGTGATGTTTTCAACATTGTCTCTGAGAGGGTGACATGGTCAAGACTGCCACTGGGAGGGTGATGTGGTCAACACTGCCACTGGGAGGGTGATGTGGTCAACACTGCCACTGGGAGGGTGATGTGGTCAACACTGCCACTGGGAGGGTGATGTGGTCAACAGTCTCTGGGAGGGTGATGCTGTCAACACTGTCACAAAGAGGGTGATGCTGTCAACACTGTCACAAAGAGGGTGATGTGATCAACACTGTCACTTGAAGGGTGATGTGATCAACACTGTCAATGGGAGGGTGACGTGGTCAACATTTTTACTGGGAGGGTGATATGGTCAACATTGCCACTGGGAGGGTGATGTGGTCAACAGTCTCTGGGAGGGTGATGCTGTCAACACTGTCACAAAGAGGGTGATGCTGTCAACACTGTCACAAAGAGGGTGATGTGATCAACACTGTCACTTGAAGGGTGATGTGATCAACACTGTCAATGGGAGGGTGACGTGGTCAACATTTTTACTGGGAGGGTGATATGGTCAACATTGCCACTGGGAGGGTGATGTAGTCAACAATGCCACTGGAAGGGTTATGTGGTAAACACTCACTGGGAGGGTGATGTGGTCAACAGTGTCACTAGGAGGGTGATGTGGTCAACAGTGTCACTAGGAGGGTGATGTGGTCAACAGTGTCACTAGGAGGGTGATGTGGTCAACATTGTCACTAGGAGGGTGATGTGGTCAACATAGTTTGTGAGAGGGTGATTCTGTCAACACTGTCACAAGGAGGGTGATGTGATCAACACTGTCACAGGGAGGGTGATGTTATCAACACTGTCACAAAGAGGATGATGTGATCAACACTGTCACAAAGAGGGTGATGTGATCAACACTGTCACAAAGAGGGTGATGCTGTCAACACTGTCACAAGGAGGGTGATGTGGTCAACACTGTCACTTGGAGGGTGATGTGCTCAACATCATGCTGGAACTTTGACTTCTAATTATATTTCCTTGTACCCATTTTATGCCAAGTTGACGTGGGTCAAATACCAACATTTCTGCAAAAAAAAGCGTCATTAAATGCTACTGGTTCTATGTGCATCTGCGTGGTATTTAGGAGGCCCGGATGTTAATGTTTTAACTAAATTTGGCATTTTGAAGTTTTTTGTGTAAACACAATAACTTTATACAATGCAAGGTTGACTTAACATTATTCCTTAAGCCTCAGTGGTAGAGGTCACAGAATATGTCACCTGATACACTTATTTTAAGGCCTAGGAAATGCATTTTGTTTGTTTATTGATTACCCCCTTTTTTCATCTTTATATATTTTGACACACAAATTTGAAAACAATATACATAAACATATTTTTTAACATTTAGTTTGCCTGAGTAAAAAAGCTTTTTTGTTAAATAGATCCCTCCCCCTCCCCCAGAAATTGCAATGGTTCACAATCCATTTTTTGTTAGCATACATGAAATGAAAAGGTAAACAAGCATGTTGTACATAACTGGTAATTAAGGATTTGCAGATACCGGATGTGCTGAGTCAAACAGTCTTACTGTAAACCACAACATAATGTGCCAATGCCAATCACCATTTTAATAGCAAAAGCAGAAGAAGAAATGTTATCTCATTTTAATAGCAAATGCAAAAAAAAAAAATTCTACCTCACCATTTAAAAAGCAAATATAGAAGATGAAATTTATATCTCACCATTTTAACAGCAAATGCAAAAGAAGACATTTCTATGTCACCATTTTAATAGCAAGTGCAGAAGAAGAAATGTTTATCTCACCATTTTAATAGCAAATGTAGAAAAAGAAATGTTTATCTCACCATTTTAATAGCAAATGCAGAAGAAGAAATGTTTATCTCACCATTTCAATAGCAAATGCAGAAGAAGAAATGTTTATCTCACTATTTTAATAGCAAATGCAGAAGAAGACATTTCTACATCACCATTTTAATAGCAAATGCAGAAGAAGACATTTTTACCTCATCATTTTAATAGCAAATGCAGAAGAAGACATTTCTATGTCACCATTTTAATAGCAAATGCAGAAGAAGAAATATTTATCTCACCATTTTAATAGCAAATGCAGAAGAAGACATTTCTACCTCATCATTTTAATAGCAAATGCAGAAGAAGACATTTCTATGTCACCATTTTAATAGCAAATGCAGAAGAAAACATTTCTATGTCACCATTTTAATAGCAAATGCAGAAGAAGACATTTCTATGTCACCATTTTAATAGCAAATGCAGAAGAAGAAATGTTTATCTCACCATTTTAAATGCAAGTGCAGAAGAAGAAATTTCTATGTCACTATTTTAATAGCAAATGTAGAAAAAGAAATGTTTATCTCACTATTTTAATAGCAAATGCAGAAGAAGAAATGTTTATCTCACTATTTTAATAGCAAATGCAGAAGAAGAAATTTCTACGTCACCATTTTAATAGCAAATGTAGAAGAAGAATTTATCTCACCATTTTAATTGCAAATGCAGAAGAAGACATTTCTATGTCACCATTTTAATAGCAAGTGCAGAAAAAGAAATGTTTATCTCACAATTTAAATAACAAATGCAGAACAAGAAATTTCTATCTTACCATTTTTATTGCAAATGCAGAAGAAGAAATGTTTATCTCACTATTTTAATAGCAAATGCAGAAGACAGAATTTCTACCTCCCCATTTTAACAGAAAATGCAGGAAAATAAATCTCCATCTCACCTGATTGGTCCATGTCTTGTAAATTAGAAGTAATTTTTAGCCAGCTTGGGTCTGGCTTCACTCCAAGTTCAGTGCACATAAATCGAACTGTGTTTTCCAGATATGCAACGTAGCTAATAATTCTCTGCATCATCACAACCTGTAAGAAAGACACACAAACATTAATTAGTTCTTCTTCTTTTCATTCGTCCGAGTGAGGTAACTTCTTCTTTTCGTTTGTCCAAGTGACATAACTTCTTCTTTTCGTTTGTCCGAGTGACATAACTTCTTCTTTTCGTTTGTCCGAGTGACATAACTTCTTTACGCTTGTCCGAGTGGCATAACTTCTTCTTTTCGTTTGTCCGAGTGACATAACTTCTTCTTTTTGTTTGTCCGAGTGACATAACTTCTTCTTTTCGTTTGTCCGAGTGACATAACTTCTTTACGCTTGTCCGAGTGACATAACTTCTTTTTTTTTGTCTGAGTGACGCAACTTCTTTTTTTTGTTTGTCCGAGTGACATAACTTTTTTTCATTTGTCCAAGTGATATAACTTCTTCTTTTCGTTTGTTTGAGTGACATAACTTTTTTTTTTCGTTTGTCTGAATGATGTAACTGTGTTGTGACTGTTTACACCATAGCTGCGATATTTGCTCCTTTCAGTCGACACATCGAACTTCACGGGAATTTGTTCACCGTGTGAAGCATTCTGACTAATTAGTTCTATCAGATATATGTGTAATGAGGAAGATTCATGGGAACAGGGAGGGTGTCAAGGACTATGCTGCACAGAGGGAGAAGAAAATCAGCAAGGAAATAGGAGTAAAGGAGAAAAATAATTACTGATAGGTTGAGAGCTGAGCATCCGAGATTAAGCCCATGAAATAGATGCAATGGCAACAGTGGTCCTGAAATCCCATGCTCTAGACTTTTTTTTGCTAGTCGCACTCACCACCACAATGGACTGATCCCGCAGCTTGCTATAGCACTACATAATATTGTCTTATGAAAAGGGGCCGACAACACATACACATATATATGTACATATGCATGAGTGTATGTATGTTTTTGTGTGTGTGTGCGCGTGTATGTATGTATGTATGTATGTATGTATGTATGTATGTATGTATGTATGTATGTATGTATGTATGTATGTATGTATGTATGTATGTATGTATGTGTGTGTGTGTGTATGTATATATGTATGTGTATACATGTATGTTTGTGTCTGTGTGTGTGTGTGCGTGCATGCAGGCATGTGTAGTGTCATGTCATTTACTGTCAAGACCGTTAGGTAAACTATCAAAAATACCTTTATTTAAAATGGATAGATAACAGAAATAACAACAGAAAAAAGAAATATGGACAAGACAAAGAAAGAAAGAGAGAAAGAAAGAACAAGTCCTTATTTCACATACCTTGGTCTCTTTACCACTTTCAGCAGAACCGGGCACTTTCCTACATATCAGGCGCAAGTGCTGGTTGAGGCAATGGTGACGCAAGCTGTTATCAACACAAACAAATATTATTTGGGCGAGTAGAAATTATTCAATTCATTCTGACTGCTAGAACTAGCTGCTTGGTCCAGACAAATTAATTCAAGCAATCACTCCTATGTTTTTGGAGCTTGTGGGGGAAGCAAACAGTAGAACTATAGCCTACCAGCTGTGGTGGAAAAGTCATTGTGGGCTTAGGGGTGACTACCCCATCTTGTAACCATAACCACAAAATATAACCATTGAAAAAAAAAAAAGTTTGTTGAGTATCCTTTATAGGACATTGCAAAGCCAACCCTAGAATTGTGTTGCAATTAATTCAAGATAATGCTCGCTCAGAGAATTTGATTATTTACACAGACGGTTCAGAGTCAAGAGGCAAAAGAAGTGCTTTGGGTTTCTTAGCAAAAGTTAATGGTCGATGTTTGGTGCAGGAGAGCCTAGCATATGATACCACAACATCCAGCTTAAGAATGGAGGTGGGGACCATCACTGCAGCTTTCCGTTAGTTAGAGAACAAGACACACACACACACACACATTGTGATTGTAACTGACTCAGAAAGCATGCCGTGAAAGGTCAGGACAGCCATGCTTCCTGCAGAGTGGCATGCTTCACTGCGAAGGACACAGGTGAGGAGTATTGTCTGGATTTTTTCACTGGGTCACGCCAGTGTGTTGGGAAATGAACAGGCGGACAGACTGTCTGGCTCTGCACAACTTAGCGGAATATTGATGCATGATAAGGCAGATGTGGTTAGTGCCTTGTGGGACAGCGTGTACAGTTCGGAGGAGCAGATGGATCACCAGTCTGGTGACATTGATGCATGGAGCAGTGACGAGAGGTTCTGGCAGATGCTTGAGGCTCAGAGGAAAGGCAAGACGGACGTTTAATTAGAATGCTTCTGGCACCATCAGTATCGGAACTCTTCACTGGCTGCTGAAGATGGGGACGGAGCACTTATGAGAATGCCCCGGGAGCTGTAATGTCGGTTCTTGAATCAACCCAACTCAACTCCCTAGAATTGTCTGGCTGTATGTTCAGTAGCTTAACACTGCTTTTTAAATAATTGGCTCTCCATACCACTGTTGACATCAAAGCATGTCAGTCTGCAGCCAAACTGCCCAAAGCTTGGTTCGACCAGCTATAAACAAGCCTTAACAAGAAATGTTTTAACTTAAATAGTCAACCAAACTGGGGTGTCAGGTTTTAGTCAAATATGACTTAGCTACATGCAGATATTGGTTGGGGAGCAAAGAAAGACAATATGACATTCAACACCTACTGGCTATGGTGAGCATGGAAACACAAAGATGCTGTATCGGAGGACAGAGCATGAATGGGTAAGCATGAATAGTGTTAGACTTATGTGTTAAGATGTTGATAAGGATAACAATTAACACATACCGTGCAGGCAGAACTCACCGGAGACCCAAGAAATTGTTCTTTTTATTAGAAATTCCTCTTATCCAGATAAGAATTCAAGAGAAACAAAAAAACTGCCAGGGATAAACAAATTGTCCACAACAGAAATGGCCAAATCTGAGATCACTTCAAGCGGTCTGCACTGTAATATTAGACAGTACTACCTGTTCTCTGTTAATGCCGCATGCTAGGTGGCTTATACCAAACCTGAGACCTCACACTGTACCAATAGCTTCAGGTGGAAGAGCACATTGGGGAAAAAGGGGGTAATAGCCCTATCCTGGGAAGAGGAAATGCAGCCTGAAAGATCAATATAATTATTATAGCAGGGCAGACAAGGCCCTTAGCCTTGACTGGCAGTTGGTCTAGTGGGGAAGCTCTGACAGGTGTACAAAGCAGTGTTCTTCTGCAACATGATTTGCTTCAAACATACTTTTGTTTTCTTTTCTGTGAACAAGGCAGGCCATAAAGGGATCAACACAGTCTCTACAATACTGCCCAGGATTTGTGCTTAGAACAGGAGTACAATATAAAATATTGTCTAAACAGATGGAAAGGTGCCACACAAAAAAACTGATGGGGAAAAGTTCTTGTAGACAAAAGATACAGCCAAAAGGAGTCTGGACTGCTGATTTAACAAGATGACTAGAGGCAGAGGTGGAAATAATAGAGATGACATAGGTTGAGCTGCAAATAATGGCAAAGGATCAACTGACTTTGATGTAAATATGTTTGTTTCTGGTAATCTGGTAATTTTAATTTCAGCTTCATAGCAAATGGATCACCCCATCTTTGCTCCGCTCCTGTGCCAATGAAAAACACACAGAATGTTTATCACAGTCCTTTGTGGAAAGACAAACTACTGTGTCAGCAAATCTAGCATACACTCGCATTAAAAGCATATGGTAGCCATCCGAAGTGCTAACACAAACAGTCTGACGTTAGAAATGCAGTTCATCATTGATGGTAGCAGAAGTCACCAAAAGATCAGCAGTTGCACACGCGATCAATTTTAATCAAATAATGGCCCCACCAATATTGCGACAACCGGCATCGCGCCATTTTCTGAATCTACAAATCACACCACCACGTTGGTCAGTCAAAAAACATTCCAAATGAAATCAGCAGCTCACAGTGTAACGTCATGCACTCAACTCAGAAGCTGGGTAACGAAACTATTTACTTCTAGTCTACAAATTGAGCAAAAAAGCAACAGCCACTGTCTGGCAGAAGCAAAACAGTGGCGGTGCCTAGTGTTCATTTGGACCTGAAGCATTATGTGAGGGTTAATAAACTGTCACCCCAGCAGTACCCCACTATTAGCTGGGGAAGGGATTTAGGACATTACATCCACCAGCAAGCGGTTTGGACTGCCGACTCCCTACAAGAAGATATATGTGTGCTACTGGTGTCCCGTAGCCAAAATACGATCTAACTGTATTACTAAAATTCAGCACGCATACTCAAATGCGCAGTAGTTTTTAAAAAAAAAACACACACACACACATACACTCATTACCTGCAACCCGCTTGCTTGCTACATGACTACATATTTATATAAGTATATATATATATATCGGGAGAGGGAGAGAGTGTGATAATGGAAGAATCATGCAGAATGACCACACATATGTAAGACACTGACACAGGGAATTCCCTATGCACACAAGGTCGGCATGACTGGCTCCAAGAAGTTGACAGTAAATTCAAATGGCTCAGTCAGATCAGACACAGTCCTTGCTGTGACAGAAAGTTGGCTGTAATAAAGGACTGCCGTAAGAAGGTGCACCCAAGGGACGGTTTCAGAAAGAGATGCAAACTTTGTGACAGGGTAACATTGCTTGAACAATGTATTCTGCAAGCCATCAGGGGTTGCATTCCCATTTTCTAGGTTCTAACAATAGTAATACACTAGCGATGACTAATAATAATCATTAACCGCTCAGCTAATACATACATAAATCGGCGTAGACAGAAAGAGAGAGATGGAGAGAGAGTGAGAGAGAGAGAGAGAGAGAGAGGGGGGGGGGGGGGGGGAATCACCGCATATCTAATTACAGCAAATGTATAGCGTTCATTGAGTCTTCTGTTTCGATATCCAAAGGTGCTTGTTGTCAACCATACAGTTTTTGCGTGCATCGATCAAAGCCTGAGAACAGAAAATCAAGTGCTGTGTCTCTACATTCATTTCTAGGTGGCCACGGGGTTACAGATGGAACTGTTGTAGCAGGTAGCAGGTAAATTGGGTGCTTAGAGAATGTCGTGTTCTCAGGTGTATCTGGTGTAGCCTGATGAGATGTCATCGCGAAGAAAGGTGAAATATTCAAAAGAAGAGAATTCCGAGAGTCTGTAATTATCTGTTCTTTCATTCGTGAACCCGCCTGTGTCAGAATAAATGTTGCTCCATTAACTCTTTGAGTCCCAGGGGGTTTAGCATCACAGGCCCAGGGGGTAGTCAAGAAAGTAATAAAATCGGCGCATCATGCGTTCATTGGGCTTCTAGGTAGGAACCTATGAACGTATGATGCGTTCCTTGGGACTCAAAGTGTTAAACGGCGTCTAGGTGTCCGAAGGAACCGTTGATGGCCTGGTGTTCAAACACTGGTGTAAGATTTATTGTCCTCTTTCTGTCTCACACAGATAGTAGCGGGCAAGTCGCCTTGAATAACCGTTGGAAATACCGCACGTATAATGTTCTACGTAGTTTCATTAGAGAATGGGATGGTCCGGATGCCTATAGTTCGGTGAGTGAGTTCAGCAGCTAGCATTTCCCTTTCTCTTCTAGCATTACTATCTTATGAAAAAGCTCAGTCCTATTGTAGTCACACATGTTTCGTTTCATACAGTGTGACACTTGCGGGACGTCACTCGGTTAGCCAGTGTTCTGGGTGGTGATAAATCTCAGTGACGCGGACAAAACGCCCACTGACCTTCGCATCCGTGGTTCATGTGTCTGTATCATCGGCACATTTCTGCTCAAAATATGTTTGAGAATGCTACAAAAACCATATTTGCATGCAATCATGACATCTAATTGCGTGAAACAATATTTCACTGCACGTCTAAAGGAATAACGATTACAACGATAGTAAAAATGTCTCTAGTTCAGAGGCACAATTAGAATAAAAAATCAAAATAGTAAGAGCTAGGAAAAAACACGTCCTCTCAGTAGGGAGTCGGCTAGTGTGCGGTTTGTGTTTGTTTCATAATGGGCTGCGTGGTCTTGAGGCATGGTGTCCACCTCCAGTGCTAGAGGTTCCGAGTTCAATCCCCGGTAAGGGCTGGGATTTTTTCACTTGGACTTCTAGTAATTCCCCCTAGTCTCTGGGTAGTGAGATCGGACGCCCGTGTACATTGTTGCGGATATAAAAAATCCCCTGGAAGTTGGAAATCGAAAAGAGTAGCCCAACGGTGCTGCCCAGGCAAAATTAAAAAATATTTCAGGATCCTCGCTGGTGCTACAGAGCCTGTGCTGAGCTTCTTCGAACTCAAACTTGAGTTAGAAGAAGAACAGAGCATTTATGGGTTACTACTCAGATGCCATGATGTTGATCAGTTGTTCAATCATGTGCCGTCCCCATTGTGAAGTTTGGCTGCAACGGATCTTCGACAAACTCCAACCTCTCATCTTGGTCATACTCTCCCGGACTGCTGCTTATCCATCTTTTCATGTCCTCTCATTTATTTTGATGTCTATCTCTTGCTGTCTTATCTTTGATTTTCTCTCCAGCGTATTTAAAAAAAATCCCAGATTACATTCTGGGGGCCTATTGTAAGTGAAAAAAGAAAACAAACCCATTGACCCCCTACCAAGCAGGCCATAAAAGGTGATTTACTAGGGATTTGATGAAAAGTGCAGATATCCTAACCTAGATGCAAACCTCAACACAACATGCCAACAACCTCGTCAAGGTTTTTGAAATAAACATGCTGAATATGGCTACTGTGATGTTCACTGTTATCTTGCTTTTCATTGTTATTTGTCATAATTTTATATTTATTCTTCTTCTTCTTATGACCTTACTAGCCTCCAATAGAGCATAGGCTCTCAACCAACTCAGGCCAAGTTGTTCTATCCTTTGCATGCAGCTCTGCCTATTAGTTAGTTAGCAGCTCTGCCTGTATCCTTCCCATCTTTTTAACTTCACTCTCTAAAACCATTTTATTTTAAGGTCTTTGTTTATTTCTATGACCATATTGCTTATTACGATAAATAATATATTATCCATAATCTGCATTTCATGAGAAAAAGACAACAGAATTTTACCATGATAATGAGAAAGTTAAAGAGGAAGAAAACCAGAGTGGGGCCAAAATGTTGGCCACTTTGGCATGCAGGTACATTAGTACCAGTAATGACTGACAGTAAATGGGGCATTAGGCTGTATACAAACATGATTACCAATGCCACATGGCAAGGAGCTAATGTGGAATAGTTGCTAGATGCCCATCTGTGTATTCGAAGGTCATGTGTTTAAATCAATAGGCAGCCAGACTTCTCTTTTTTTCAAAAATCATCTTGGCCCCCAGGTCGACCCAGCCTTAAATGGGTACCATGTAAAGTCCTGGGAAGTAAAGACGGCTGGTGTAATGCAGACCCCATTGCCCACCGGGTGCCGACAAATCTATAAAATACAGGTCTAGCACTACATGCCTAATATGTTTTAAAAAGGGTCCTATACATGGCAATAAGAAGAGATGATTACCGTTCATTTTCCCTATGGATTTCTTTCAACATCCTGAGAGTTTTGGGGTTTTTGTCCTTGTACTGGCCTCTTGTCCTCTGAGCAGCAGGTGACCAGGACAATGGGGAAGCCTCATAGAAGGACATGTCTGTGGCATCTGTTTCCTAAAGGCAATCAATATTTCATTTACATCTGTATGAATAAGTGCAAGAACACTTCAAGACTTTATTAAACAATAAGATACAATTTTTAATACATTCTGGAATTATTCAAAACAAATAATGTTATTAAAGAAAGTTGAAAGTACTAATGCAGGGCTATTCAACTAAGATTACTCATAGGTAACAATGTTGAAAACAGGGATCATTTCATGTAAGAGGACCGAGCACAGAAAGAATATTAATACAACACAATTGGCAATGATCCGCGGGCCACCTGTTGAACAGCCATGTACTGAGGTAATCAAAGAAGTAACATGAAAAAAACTCTAAGGTAGATCTGAATGTCAAGATAGGACTGGATACCAAGTGTTATAAAGATACTCTGGGAAAACATGGGATAATGAATGATAAAGGATGCTAGCTGTGCACTCTCTGAGACTGCTTGTCATTCATCTTTTGATGTTTTCATCTCGCTTGTATCACTGTCTGTCTTTTGCTTGCTTGCCTTCAACTTTTCGGTTTAAGTATGGTTTTTATAAGTGTTATGTCTAAAATAGTTCAACTGGCTCTTTCTTACAATTTCCCTTAAGCAACTCCCTTTTCCTTCCCAGTCTCTTCAGAATCTCTATACAAAAAAGTGGTAAGTAGCTGAAGCAAATTTATGTTATTCTATTTTTTGTACTAATGTTTTGTAAGCAGCTGCAACATATTCGATCTTACTCACCAATGTGCTGTGAGCATTTGAAGCAAATTTATACATTAATTTATGTTACCAATAAACTGTAATCAATCGAGGGGGTGGGGTGGGGGGGGGGGGGGGGGGGGGGTTATTGTGGGGGGGGGGAAAGGGGTAAACAAGAGAATATACCTTTCTTCCCCCTTGACTGCACAGTGTGGAAACTGACTAATGTTATATGTTGACAATTGCATTGTGACACCTTTTAACTCATTTTTAAGCCATACAGCCTCATACATAAGTGGGACTTCTGGCTTAGTATGGAGGACTAGGCATGACAAAATGTTTAGCTTCAAAAATATTTGTGCTTCTGACAGCGCTTTGCTAATGCATTTCCACACATGGACGAAAGTCTACAGTTTTGCTGCCTAAGCTACAGAGTCAAGAGCTTGCTTCCGCACTGAGAACTGTTTTTTTTCACGTGGAATGTTTTCATCTGTGCAGCGGCTGAGTCATGGTAGTCAATATGGCTGATTTACATGTGGGCTGGCGAAATACCGTATGTAATAATTTTATTGCTGCATGCACTTATTTCTGGATTTGTCATAATCATTGTGCTGGGACTTACTGTTTGTTCACTAGGTTTTCAAATGGCACATTGAGGGACATTTCATCTGATTTTCACTGGCACAGGATCGGAACAAGTAAGATGTGATCTGACTGCAGTGAATTGAAACCTCGACGAAGCCAAATATGTAAGTGAAAACTAACTAACATGCCTTGTATTGGTTCTTCTTCTTCTTCAGCATTCTGAGCCCTTGAGGTTCACTGCTACAGATATCACCCGCCTCCACTGATCTCTCTGGTAGGCCTTCTCTTTCCAGTTGGTGATACCAAGTGTTTGCAGGTCTGCCTGGACATTATCTCTCCATATTCTTCTCAGTCTGCCTCGTGGTCTACGACCATTCATCTCCCTTGTGTATACAGTTTTTACTTTCAATATGCCCCAACCATTTCAGTCTATTAGCTCTCATGATGCCAATGATCAGTAGTGATCTAAACAGATTATGAATTGTGTTATTGTTTCTCACTCTCCATTCCCCGTTGTTTGCATCTTTGATGGGTTCAAAGATTCGTCGAAAGACTCTGTTTTTGAAAACCTGTAATAGGCTTTATCTCTTTTAGCTGTGCTTCAAGTTTCAGAGCCATATAACACGACTGGTCTTATCAATGTTTTATATATTTTGATCTTGGTGTTGCGAGACACACACTTTGACTTTAGCAGATGTTGAAGGGTATAGTATACTTTATTTCCAGATTGTATTCTAGATAGTATTTCTTCTCTCAGCATGCTGGAGCAGTTGAAGTTTGCACCCAAGTAGTTATATGTTTCTGTTTGTTTGATTTTTATATTATCAACTTGTATGTGGCCGGAGTTTATATCCTTTCCCTGTCTAGTTATAATCATGTATTCTGTTTTATCTTGACTGATAACTAGTCTTGTGTTGGTTTGTACAAAATAATTAAAATGACACAGTTTCTGACAGTAAGAACGCACCTTGATTTCTTCATAAGCACTGTCTACACCCGGTGCTTCTTGAGCCGGTGTAGCTGCACATGTACATGTCTGTGTACATGCATCTTCTTTATCATCAAGAAAATGTACATGTTCCATATTAAAGGTATGTAGACTGCGATTCATAGATCTCTTGCTAAATTTAGCTTTTATATGAGCACTCTCAGACATGTTCTGAAAATTCAGAAAAGGAAATCATGATATTTAAAAACTGTTTCAGTTTTGTGCAAGTCTTACTTTGAGAAACTAAACACAATATAAACAATGATTAGAAAGCTTAACTAAGAGAAAGGAAAATTTGTGCAAATGTTTTTAAAGCACAACACAGTAACTTATAGGCAATGAAAGTAAGAAGTAAAACAGCTTTTTACGCCATAGGCACATCAGGCGAATGATGACTGACTGACTAACTTTCTACCACACCAGGACATCACACAAGCAATAAACACCCAATGACACAAAGTGCCACCATGTGGATGAGGATCGCCGCGGAGAGGTCCCAAAAACCGCGTTCAGGCAATTGGCCATATTTATGGCCTGCTTATATTGCGGCCCCTGGCAAAAGCCAGGGTGGGGCTTCAAATAACAAAAAAATGTGTCCTAAAAAGGACAAAATTGGATTATAGATGATGTGTAAAACATGGCATATGATGCTAGACTGGTATTTTTAAAGACCAATTGGTACCTGGTGGGTGCACAGGCCGCCACTGGTTTCCAGGACCTGGTCCCAATCTGAGAGTCAGCTGACCTGGTAGCAGTTGATCTGCTTTGATGTAAACTAAAGCCCAAAATCTCTGGGTCAGCAGGCAATTGTCTTGGCCAGTGGATTTCAACCTTTTTCAGGTGATCCCGCCCCCCCCCCCCGTTTTTTTTAATATATGAAAAGAACTCCATGCCTCTCTCCAACCCACGTTTAAACAAATGTCGTCAAAAAGAGGACAGCAAAAAGACAAATGGCAAGCACTGTTAATAAGAACTTGCAATAAAACAGCTACAAACATCATAGTATCAAATAAAATTAAAGCCACTGGTAATTTAGTGTTCAAATATCAATGAGATGGTTGGCATAGTTTTGTCTTGATGATATCTGCTATTTTTGGTCAGATGTTGGATAAGGCACAAAGAAATACTGAAAAATTAAATGTTAGTAAGTAAGTAAGTTTTACCCCCACCAGGACATCACACAGAGCGATAAACACTCTGTGACACAAAGTGCTACCATGAGGATAAGGATTACCCATGGAGAGGTCCCGGAAACCCCGTTCAACCATTAGATTATATTAGGGCCCCGGCCTAAGCCAGGGTGGGGCCCAGAAAGAAAGTGACTCCCCTTGCTATTCATGCCTGGTCATGTTGCAGGTCCTGTCCTTTTTTGCAAAGGTGTCACACTTAGCAACAGGATGAATTTTACACGTTGTTGTCAGCAGCCGGCGATATCGTGTGTTCTATATTCCATGAATGTGAGCGCTTTTAACGGTCCCAAAACATGTAGAACTGGCCCTAACATAAACCTCTCTATGCCACAGCCTCAGCCCATGTCCCACGAGAGTGCAGCCTACGTCACATGACTGCATGCAGCCTAAGACAACAACGCGCATAAAAATACATTCTGTTGCTGGACGCTAAGTGTGACACCCCCGCAACATTGGACAGGCCCTGCAACACAACCAGGCATGAATGTCAAGGAAAGTCACTCTCTTTCTGGGCCCGACTTCGTTACTAGAACTGACAATTGTTTAATTTTCATAAATAATAATTTAAAAGGTACAAAAGTAAAAAAAATGTACCATTAAAATTTGATCTAAAGAAATGTAAATTAGTAAACAATAATAATATTGCAGCTTCATTTATATTGTCATGCTATAAAATAACACAGGTAACACTAATTAATGTTTAAGGGGGAAATATTTCACTTGGGATCCCACAGGGTAAACTTGTCCTTGGGGGAATTTGACCAGTCTGGCATAGCTGACAGGGACTGAAGAGCTATAGAATAAAACTATGCATTTTTATTCCTTGTGTAAGTCCCGGGGTCCCATTTGAGGGGGAAACAGAAGACTCACTGCTCCCCTCCTCCTAACGAGCATTATGTAAAAAAAAAGACTAATTAAGAATTTACTGAAAATAGATGAGGCCCAAAAGTGCAGATATCACAGCCTAGCTGTAAATCACAACACAGTGTGCCAACTACAAACAGAGAAGGATACATTATATCGGCTGGTTATGCATCCTCAAGAAGACTGAGGATTTTAAATCTTAAGTATGATACAGTGGCGTTCAGTTCATCCATGTCCAGAAAAGTTAAAACATCTATATTGCCATATACTAAAGTGGACGTGGGGGTCTTGCCACACTAGAGGTGGGAGTATCTTGCTATATACTCAAGGAATCGTGACCTGAAAAGGTTAGAGACCACTGCAGTAAGCCTTGTTTAAGTGCACAATTATATATGTCAAAGAGTAGAGGTCGATTTACCCCACTTTAAGCTCAGTAAACAGGAAGGCATGCAAGGCCAGTACTGGAAAGCAACTGCAGATAAGCAGGTTAAGATGAAAATGGTCTATAAATAGTTGTCAGGCACTGTTTGGTGGCCTATGCTCAGCTGGGAGATGTAAGGAAGAAGAGGAGGGGGAGGAGGGAAAGGAAGAAGAACAATTACTTAAAAACAAATTAAAACACAATTTTAAAGTATCTAAATTCATCATGTGTTAAAGGTCGTTTTTTTTTTTTTTAAATTGCTGAGTCGGTCTTTTCTTAAAATTTGAAAGTATAATTATTTCAAAAAATTTTGTAAACATTATTTTATTATCTCGGCTTAGAACTGATGTAAAAGCTCCAGGAGATAACATCAAGTTGAAGTTTTCAAGAGCTACCCAAATTTTAAGATCACACTGTTTGAAAAAAAAAAAAATATTACGGTATTTCACTATTTGGCCATTGTGACTGTTAGAAATTTAAATAAAAAGGTACACAATGCCAGCCACGACCTGTCACTATTTCTGAGCTTAAAAATGAACTAAAACTTCTGATGGACATCAGCAACAATGATTAAACATCACAATTATACTTTTCAAACATAGTATTGCAAATACCATATAAATAGAGTAAAAATAAGCTTGATTTAGATTTTAAATTTCGAGGTAAGAGCAGCTTCTTGTTCGCGCGAAACGTCTTCAAGCCAAGTACAAAGTGAGTGCTCATTTTTGGCAATCTGACAACTAAAGTATACGCTGCATAAATTTTAATTCTTTTATTTTGACAAAGACAAGTTTTCTTTGGGGTGTAATAATATTTACATCATATAAAAAAATACATAATTTAATATGTTTGTAAATGTTTATATTATGTACTCGAATATTCACCAAATAATGTGAAATAATATCGGAGGCCAATCCGTCAAGTTTTCAACCGGCAAGTTTATCTATCTATCTATCTATCTATCTATCTATCTATCTATCTATCTATCTATCTATCTATCTATCTATCTATCTATCTATCTATCTATCTATCTATCTATCTATCTATCTATCTATCTATCTATCTATCTATCTATCTATCTGATAATATGTGTATGTTTACCACTACGTGGATTACGCAGAAGTGGTGACAGAAACGTGAAAAAAGGGGGGTGGGGGGGGGGCATGGTTGTTTTCACCCCTTGAAAGGTTTTCTGGGGGAGTGTGATGTCTTCTAGTGGGTCGTCGGGTGGTTGGTAGTTTTACCCCACCAGGACATCACACAAGCGATAAACACCCGGTGAAACAAAGTGCCACTATGCGGATGAGGGTCACCCGTGGAGAGGTCCCAGAAACCACTTCAGCCATATCTATGGCTAGGCCATATTCATGGCCCGGCTATATTCAATCAATCAATCAGGTGCCGTCTCCACAATGAAGGTTGGCTGCAATGGATCTCCAACAAGCCCTGTCTCTTGCCCTTGATGTACACTCACTCATACTGCTGTTCGTCCATCTCTTGATGTTATCCTCCCATTTGTAATGCTGTCTGCCTTTTGCTAGCCTACCTTGAACCTTTCCCTCTAGGCCAAAATATCTCACTTGTCTCTTTTTTATTTCACCTAGCAACTCTCTTTTCATTCCCCGGCAAATTCAGAACCTCTGTTATTGAAAGCTTTTGTTTCCATGAAATACGACCTATAAAAAAAGTAAAAAGTAAAGATTCCTTTTCACGCCTTTCGGCGCATCGGGCATATGGGTAGAGCGTCCCTATTTTTACAGACCAGTCAGCACGTAAGTGAGTAATTGTGGTCAGCATTTGACGTCGGCTTTCTTTACTTTCCCAGGACAAGGAACCGACCGACATTTTGGCTCAACCTGCGACGTCCCTGTAAAACTGATACCACGACAAAAATCCACGCAGCCTGCAGTGGGTTTCGATCGCTGTATGCTGGCTCACGAGTCGGACTCGCAACGCCTTAGCCACGGACTCCGCTTGAAATACGACCTAATCTTCTGTATATCCACATCTCCAAAGAATTGATACGATTTTCCATTTGTTTGTTCATTGTCCATCTCTGTGGTCTCAGTAAGGTTGAGAATACATAACATTTGACAATTCTCATTTTTAATGTAAATGCTTATTTATCTTGTCAGTAACCTTTGCATGTTGTTGAAAATGTTTTTGGCCATCCCTATTCTTTTCTTGACATAGTTTCACTTCTGCTGTCACATGTTATTACTTGTCCAAGATATAAGGAATTTTTTAACCTGTTTCCAATTTCACCCCGTTAACTGTGATATTCATTGTTAGGATTATTTTCTTTGCTAAATATCATGGGTTTTTGTCTTTTTCAAATTTATATCTAATCACAATGCTGCACTCCTTCTGTATACTTGCTCCACTAGGTCTTGCAACTCCTGCTCACTCTCTGCTAGCAACACTATGTCGTCAACATATATCAGATTGTTTATTATTCTGCCATTGATGTGGAGTCCTGGTAATTCTACAATTTCTTCAAAAATGGTTTCTGTACATAAGTTGAAAAGGCTAGGCGACAGCACACATCCTATATTCAAGGCCCCGGCAAATTATGAATTTTGTTATTGCTTTTCATTCTCCCTTGGGAGTTGGGCTTAAAATAACAAAAAATTGCATCCCACGAGGGGCCAACTTCGATAAAAACTATGTTAGTGGGTCGTCTCGTTTAAGTGTGTTATAATAATTTAATCACTAATTATAATATAGTAATAAAAATAATATGCTAAATAATGGAACAAAGGCAACAATCTATTTGACTGACTGACTTTCTACCCCACCAGGACATCACACAAGCGATAAACACCCGATGACACAAAGTGCCACCATGCGGATGAGGATCACCGTGGAGAGGTCCCAGAAACCGCGTTCAGACAATTGGCCACATTGATGGCCTGCCTATACTGGCAAAAGCCAGAGTGGGGCTTCAAATGAGAAAAATTACGTCCTGAAAAGGACGTAAAGAGTAATTCTTAGAACAATCTATTTGAAATAATGCGAAATGTATATGCTAAATAACAGAACAAAGGCAACAATCTATTTGAAATAATGCGAAATATATAAATAAATACTTAATAACATTTATTTCTGTGGGGAGGGGGGAGGGAAAGAAAAAAAAAAGAGAAGGGGGGGGGGGGGATGGGCCTAAACAAAGTGTTATTTGTGAATATGATGATGATGATGCATGATGATGATGATGATGATGATACATGTTTTAGTAGTGATTTCCCCTGTTTGTTTTGACTACTCTCGATTCTCAAAAGTAAGGTAGACAACTTTGTCAGCCATCGGCATTGGAAGCGAGTATTGTGGCGAAGATGTTTTATCACGTATGTTTATTATTTAAAATAAATATATATATACTTGTTATTTTATGGTAAATGTTCAGTTTCTCGATCGTACCAACAGCTACCTTAGTTTTATAATGTAGATTTTTCAGTTCAAAATGACCAAAATGAAAATAAACAATTTAACGTTATTCCGTCATCATGACGACACAGTCACAGAGTCAGAAACAACTACAACTACTAGTACTAGTCTACAACTACAGGAAATGATAGACATTGTCGTGTTAGAAAGTTGAAGAATGGGCCTCAATTTGAATAATGGGAAGACAGAAGTAATGGTGGTATTAAAGAAACGCCAAACGAATTATTCCTAAATGTGTAGTAACGTCTCCAGAAATTTTAAGTATCTGGGCGCATGCATGGATAACATCAGATGGAAGATCATGCATAATTAACTGAGATAAGGGCCCTCCTCCGAACTTCTACCCGATATTATGGCTGCCAAACAAATACCCCAACAGGGCCTCAGTACTATGCATAATGCGGACTTCCTGCCGAAGAACAAATTGCGGCAAAACTAGAATCGGCTCCGAATAACGAAACAAATGCTCTAACAGGGTCTCAGCGAATGTTAATTGCGGACCTGTTTCTGCGACTATGCCGCACCGGATTAGTATCCCCGCGCCACTACGTGTGGCACAGATTTGGGGCTAAACTAGATGGCTGTGACTCACGAGTCGCAGCTACCGCATCTCCTGCAACTTCCTCCAATTTATTTGCTCGTGAGTCCTAGGCATCTAGTTTAGATCCCCATCTGCGCCGCTACTTGCGGCACGGGGGATACTGTTGGCGGTGAGTTTAATCGCATTTTGCGCATGCCAAAAAATGTGAGGACAACAACGAAGAGAAATACCTACCCATTATTAACATTATTATATGTGAAAGTTGTGGCACAGAAGTTGCAAATAGTGCCCAAAAATCTGCTCTTTGTGGCATGACGCCATTGAAATTCACATAAATATGATGGAAAAGTAATGTTGAGTGTCTCAAAATTGTAAACGGTCGTTAGTATCGTCTGCAGAAACACTAGAAATTGTCAACGGTTGCTATTATCGCCTGCTACTATCATCTGCAGTGTTGCGTCTCCTGAAATTGTCAAGTAATCCTAGTTTTGCTGCAATGTGTTCGTCGCAGGAAGTCCGCATATAACACACAACTGAGGCCCTGTTAGGGTATTTGTTTTACAACCATAATATCGGGTAGAAGTTCAGAGGCTGAGCTATCGAGATAACGAAACAGGTTGAAGCTCAAATGGACAAACAAAAACTGTATGGGAATTTTAAAGACGGCTGGCGTAAAATCCCGATTGGTCTGTACATTTATGGGCGCTCTTCCCATATGCCCGATTATATACTTGTCACCTACCCATTATTAACGTTATATGTGAAAGTTGTGTTAGAAAAAAAATCTGCTCTTGTGCAGTGACGGAGTGCTTGAAATACATCCAGTTTTAACAAATTGTAAACGGTCGTTAGTATCATCTGCATCACTTGGACAATCCGTAGTTATTATCGTCTGCTACTATCGTCTGCCATCTCTTGGCAAGTAATCCTAATTTTGCTGCGATGTGTTCGTTGCAGGAAATATAATTTCACAACTGAGGCCTCAGAGAAGGTTTGTTTTACAGAAGATATCCTTTCAGAGGCAGCCTGAGATAAGATACAGAATAGACAAGCAAAAGAGCATTTTAAAGAGGCGGGAGCCCGAACAACTTTTATCACAGACATCAGGAGACAAATTCATTTTGCTACATACTTCCAGTTATTAGAAGAGGGGGAAAATAGAACATGTTGTGACCACTTGAAAGATCTTTGGAATGAGGGACAGAGGAAGACAACGAGAGAAGATTCTTGACAGTCTTATGGCATGGAGGTGTGTCAGCACACGAACTGATACAGGCTGCAGGAGATCGCAGATTGTGGAGAGGCATGATCGCCCTCGCCAGTCGGCAAGGCACCTGATGATGATGATGCTTTTCAGTTCGATAAATTTGTACTGTTATTTACTTTCCTGAAATCTTATTCACTTAATTTTGAAGCCCCACCTCGGCTTTTGCCGAGGGCCCTGAATATAGTCGGGTCATAAATATGGCCTAGCCATAGATATGTAGATATGGCCTGACGGCTGAAAGTGGTTTCTGGGACCTCTCCACGGGTGATCCTCATCCGCATGGTGGCTCTTTGTGTCATTTGGTGTTTATCGCTTGTGTGATGTCCTGGTGGGGTACAACTACCTACTTATTTTTTACTACAAAAACTAAAATTCAAAAATTCTGATTTGATTTGATTACAATAATTAATAGGGATGCTAGTGAAGTTTTATATTTGGTATTTTTACTTATGAAACCATCATGGAAAGATAGAGATTAAAATGTCTATCCAACGATATCTCAACGAAGCCTGTAAGTCAGTTCTAAGCGTAGATATTATTTTATTATTAATATTATATATATACTATAATATATCACCATAGACAAATAACATTATTTATAATGTAATCTGACAAAAGATCGATTCTGGTCCTGCGTCCCAGTAAAATTGTAGGGTGGAAATGACTAAATGTTTGCATTTTATGGCAATAACTATTTTGTTTTTAACGAATCTCTTAGCAACTATATATCATTGCAGTCATGGCTGTGAGGCTAAACTATGACATTGCTTAAATACAACTGATGAGAATGATGCACTTTGGGTCTAATCAAAAAATAAAAATATTTGCCAGCTCGCTATTTGTAAGTAAACACCATATGAATTTATGGTAATTTGCCAACAAGCCTGGCAAGAGGTTACTGATGAGGTGGACATATGGAACACACCGAAATGCAGATATTAAGCAATATTATCTAAATAACATAAAAAATGGTCACTGGCTCACTAGTTTTAAGTAGGCACTTTATGCTTCAATGATTACAACAGGTTTAAAGTAGAAAAAAAAAATCCACTTCGTTGCACTTGGTTTTACCCTAAATGGCTAAATCTTTTTGAGAAAGTTTCTCTGGCTGGCCAAATCGACTACTGTTGCAACACAAAATGAAAAACGGCTTATCACATTTTGAAAGAAACCTAATACAGCAATTTTTAGAGAGAGATGTCAGAGAGAAAATCAATAGGATAGCAAGAGAGAATCTACTTTTGTGTGTATCCTATTTGTCAGAGACTGCCACTCCCGCATCAGACTTTACAGTCACAGCAGATGCTGTTTCCAAAGCCAGTGATCTTTCTGACTGATGCTATGTCAGTTCTACAAGCAATTGCTAACCCAAAAGACACTCAGTTTGTAGACTTGATGCAACAGCTGATTCACTTAGGTTCTTCAGTAGAAACAGTTTAATGCAGTGGATTCCAGGTCACTGTGGCTTGGAAGGCAATGAAATAGCGGACAGACTGATCAGAAGCGGCAGTGACACGGTACAACCAAATAGTGACCTAACCCACCAAGAGACTAAGACATTAATACTATCTAGTATCTGAGAAAGGTGGCTGGATACCCACACCTAATTTCCTCATCAAGACTCGCTTCATCGCCTCTCTAGAAAGGGACCATGTATTATATTCAGACTTTTCGGTGTAGGAAACATGGAGATGTGTCCCTGCAGCGTGGCACCCGAAAATGCTGAGCTCCAATCTTGTCAACTGTATGCTGACAACAGAGATGCAATCTGGCCTGTTTCAACCACAATGAAGACAAAACTGTATGGTACACAAGAGGATATGGACTGCACAATAGCTTTCATAAAGGCTACCGGCCTCCGGATTTAAGTTTTATGACAGAAGGATCTAAGAAGAAGACAATGGATGGTTGATGTGAACCTGGCTACCTCTTCCTGAAGAGAAAGCTTCAGCGTCTAGCTGATTATGAAAGGCTGTATATGAGAATTGAAAGGCAGGAGATGTTTTGAACAGATGCAGAAAATGATTGTATAAAGAATTGAAAGGCAGGAGATGTTTTGAAAAGAACAGAAAATGATTGTATTGAGAATCAAAAGGCAGGGGGTGTTTTGAACAGATGCAGAAAATGATTGTATTGAGAATTGAAAGCCAGGGGATGCTTTGAACAGATGCAGAAAATGATTGTATGTTTCTTATAGTCATAATAAATCTATTGCTTGCTGGCTGGTTCTGTCACAACTTCAACAGTAGGCCAGAATATTTTAGGGTGACCTAAGTTGGTATTCATGGCTACCATAGCAGTCTTGTGGCACAAGGTTGGGCACATAATTTTGCCGAGTCGTAATACTCAAAGTGTCTGTAGTCTAGTTGACTTACTTAGTCGCTCCTCTTCTACCTTGGGGTGTAGAGGTTTGCCAGAGAGTTCGCCAGACGTCTCTATCAGCAGTTTTCTTTCTGGCTTTGTTCCATTCCAGTCCTCTGTCAGTTAGGGACTGTCGGATGTTGTCTTCCCAGCGCACCTGGGTCGTATTGGAGGTCTGGTTCCCTGGTTCTTAGCCTCCCATGCTTGCCATGGTGGCCGATTTTCTCCCATTCTGCATACATGTCCAAACCATCGTAACTGTGACTGATCTACTCGGGTTAGTAAGGGCTGGGTATCAAGATCTTGACGTATTGTCTGATTGCGGACTTTGTCCCTTCTTGTCACTTGGACCACCTCTCTCAGGTATCTCATTTCCCAGGCCTGCAGCTGGCTTCTGTGAGCTGTTGTCATTGCCCATGACTCACACCCATAGGTCAGGACTGGTACATAGGTAGAGCGTCTAGCTGACTAAAAGAGCAATATGTCACTCAACACCCAAAGTAGTAAAAGAGAAAGTGAGAGAAGACAAAGCATAACAAAAGTGAAATGATTTAGATAAAACCTGTGTATGTGTTTGATCTTTTATAGAGTGGTTTGTGTTCTCTTGATTGCAGGTTTCCCTTGAACATGAGATTTTGTTGCATCCACGTTACTTTGGACCAAATTTACTGAATATTGTGAAACAGAAGCTTTTCACTGAAGTTGAGGGCACCTGCACAGGAAAGTAAGTATTTTTTGCTAGATAAAAATGGTAGTAATCTTGCACAGCGGTTTTAGTGTTTCTGTCTCTTCCACTTTCACCATTTTTTGGCAAGTTCTATCTCTACAAAGTGCTTTGTTAAAATGTTGGGCTTTGATAGCCTCCTCAACCTCTGTCTCTGAAAATTGCTGTAAGCATATCTGAAGATCGTCCTTGACCTCAGGTATATGGGAAAGTACAGGCAGGTCTGGGCAGTTTTTAGTAACTCCTGGAAATGTTCTTTCTGTCTTTCTGTTCTTTTCTGCTGTAATTATCTTTTCTTTCTTTAATTTCAGAGATACATTTTGGAGAACCACATTTTATTTAAGTTTCTTGGCTATGTTATAGTGGTTTGATGTCCTGCTTATTTGCCTCTGTTACCAGAGTAAAAATACTTGGTTGGTTATCTTTCATTGAATGTTTTCCAGTGTGATTTGATTTGTAAATTAACTCTTTTTGGTACTAAGGAAATGATGAAAGTGCATTATAATCCTGGTACCAGAAAAATGTTACAATGTTGGAAGATGTTTACTTGATTATCTTTTATGCTGTGGATTCTATTGATTTATAATGAATTTATTTTTAGGTATGGGTTTGTTATTGCTGTGACCACCATTGACAATATTGGAGCGGGTCTGATACAACCCAGTCGGGGGTTTGTGGTCTACCCTGTCAAGTACAAGGCCATTGTTTTCAGGCCATTCAAAGGAGAAGTTCTTGATGCAGTAGTTACTCAAGTTAATAAGGTAAATCAGTCTGTCATTTAATTAATGTCATCTTGACCTGTGTGGGTTCCTGCGCCCCATTGAGGGCGGAGGGGGGACCCCTGTCTCCCAACAAGCAAGTTGTAAGAGATGACTAATTATGGCTTTCCCTTAAAGTCTGAGTGCATCTGTCTGAGAGACAAGGAACCAACAGTCTGCATACAAATAAACCAGATCTATAAAAATGAATGTGCATGTTCTGGAACATGAGGAATACAAGTTTAGAAGTGGACAAACAACCAGCACTGTATGCCAGAGTTACAGCCGGTGAACTGTGAAGAACATAACTAGTCTACAAGTAGGACCTACATTCATACAGTCATAAATTATATAAATCAAATCAGAACTTTAGTTTCCATTGAAACTTCCAAGCATCCAGGTTGACTAATGTTTATAATGGTCACCCTTCTACTCCCTTCCCTCTGCCACCAGGTCTAGAATTTATGTGTGTGTCCAAATACTGTATCTGTTTGTGCACAAAGTACCACATGTGCCCCGTTCACTCTGGACAAGTCAAAAATACATTTAAAAAAATGCTTGAAAAGGTTGGTGAATTTGACCACGAACTCTGACATGGCATTTCAATATTTCAGGTTGGCTTGTTTACAGAAATTGGACCACTTTCCTGCTTTATTTCTCGTCATGTGAGTAGTGATAGTGTTTTTAGTAATTTTTTTTTTTAGCTGATGTATTTAACCCAGGTGTTTTCATTTACTCTACTACTGATAAAAATCTTACGACAGTTTAACCCACTCGCCTTGAGAAGCACAAAACTGACACTTCTGATTTGGCCATTTTCTCATAAAAGTCACTTTCCGACTTGTCTATAGTGATGTGTTTACGAGTTGCATAGTTAATGCTATTCGTCAGATTTGAGCCTACACAAACATTTAGAAGGTCAGGATCAGATATATTAGCTACAAATAACATTTATGGTTGTATTCCTATGAACAAGTTAGCATTTTAAAAGCCAGGTTGACATCAGAATTTCCTGTAAGCCTTAGTAATAGAGGTCACAGGGTTATACTGCGTTTTTAGGCTGAGGGAACTATTCCATTTAATACTTCACTCTCTTCATTTCTTATGATAACTATTTATGTAACCAAAAAGTGTAGAGAAATAAATGTTTGTAAAAGTTATTAGTATCCTGTGAAATAATTGTTTGAACAGATTTTTGGGGAATTCCCACAGGGTCATGACCCTTTTTAGGTACCATTACTGAGATGCCAGGGTTAAGCAGTTTTTAAGCCTTGCAGTTTTTTTTTTATTAGGTATTTTTTATTAGATAAAACATCATTACATACATTAAAAAAAAAAGATTTCATGGGGCACATGTTTTTTAATGGACATAAGTAGTTGCAAATCAGTTTCAGTTACTACCATTTGTATATTTTATTTAAATGTAGAGGGGGAGAGGGGGGGGGGGAGACATGGAGTCAATATTCATTTTGTTTGGATCATTCACAGCTGGATTTAGAGTCGATATTCATTTTGTTTGGGTCATTCACAGCTGGATTTAGAGGCAATATTAATTTTGTTTGGATCATTCACAGCTGGATTTAGAGTCAAAATTCATTTTGTTTGGATCATTCACAGATGGATTTAGAGTCAATATTCATTTTGTTTGGGTCATTCACACCTGGATTTAGAGTCAATATTCATTTTGTTTGGGTCATTCACAGCTGGATTTAGAGTCAAAATTCATTTTAATTGGATCATTCACAGCTGGATTTAGAGTCGATATTCATTTTGTTTGGATCATTCACAGCTGGATTTAGTTGATATTAATTTTTTGGATCATTCACAGCTGGATTTAGAGTTGATATAATTTTGTTTGGATCATTCACAGCTGGATTTAGAGTCGATATTCATTTCGTTTGGATCATTCACAGCTGGATTTAGAGTCGATATTAATTTTGTTTAAATCATTCACAGTTGGATTTAGAGCCGATATTAATTTATTTGGCTCATTCAAAGCTGAATTTAGACAGTGTGTAATAATACCATTTTAAAAAAAAAAACTTTATAAACATGTATGGTACCATTTTGATATAAATTGTATGATTTGTTCCTGTTTGATTCTCATCCTTGAGATGTTAATCCTACATACTATAATCCTGGAGGGGAAATACTTAATAAATGAAACAGGTAAATATAGCTTTAAGTTATGTTGGAAGTGCTTATTTCAGTGAAGGTGAGAATATTAACTTTATTGTACCAGGTTTTAACCCCTGTTTCTTGGTCTCTCCACAGAGAGATTGGTTGCTTACGATAGAATCACACATAACATGAACCCCTTAACTCCAGAGATGACCCCCAAAGATCTGTGAAATATCTGCATTCACGTATTGAACGATAGGCTCAAAGTGCTGTACACTAGGTCATACGTCAGAATAGTTGCAGACAAGAAACACATTCTGCTCTAAGCCCTGGAAAAAGCTCAGGGTCACAGATTGAAATGAGGACAGTTTTGAATGGTGCAAGTTGAAGACATTATTTGACATAGGCAGATACTTGAAACAAATTGGGAGAGGAGAGGAGCGGGTCCGACAGTCTGAGCAAAAATACAATTAATGCAGGGTTCTAATTCATTGAATTGGAACTCAAGGGACTGAGGTCATCACAGAATTAGAATTTGGCGACTTCTTCTTCTGTGTTCATCTGTAGACTCAAATGGTTGTGCCCTTTTACAACATTGCTGCGGTATTTGCGTCTTTCAGTTGATACATCCAGCTTCTGTTGTCCGACTTAGTCTTCCCAGTATTCAGCAACTGATTCCTGACAATTCCTGCCGGATGTTGTGATTTTCTGTACAGATGACCTTGTGTTCGAGAAGCATAAAAGTACAAGTGGGTTTATAGAAGAGGGAACGAACAGCCTTTAATTCAACAAAACCTAGCATATGATGTCACAACATTTGGTTTGAGAGTAGAGGCAGGGACAAGTCTCTGCAGCTTTCTGCTAGCGTGAGAACCAGCTGTGCATTCATGTCGTGATTTACCACCCTCACAAAGCAAGCTGACAAATATGATTTACACACATACACACACACACACACACACACACACATGATCAGGCACTCAGTGCAAAATAATATCACTTTAGAAAATCTAGCATGCCTAAGTCTGCAGCATTTGTTATCTTTCTCTCAACAGTCCATTCCAGCAGACATGGAATTTGATCCAAGTTCAACTCCACCCTGTTACAAAACGAAAGATGAGGTATGGATTTCCGATAAATATTAATTTTCCCCATCTTATCTTGATTCCTTCATTTTTCTCACTGGATGGCTTAGGCATTCATGTCTTTTCACAGATCTTGGTTCATGATGTTCTAGATAAATTCCACCAGACTGTCATATCTCAACAGGTATTGTTAATTTGAAGACTAACTAGACTACTTTCTCTGAATTCTTTTACCTACTGCTTGTACTTTGAAGCATTACACAAAGAAGGTAAATTTTGTGTTCTGGATATTCCAGATGTGTAGCTTTAAGTATCTTCTTCTTCAGTATTCTGAACCCCTTGAGGTTCAATGCTGTAGATAACATCCGCCTCCATTCATGTGTGTGATTCATCTTGTCTTTCCAGTTAGTCATGAAACAGATCTCTAAAGCTTTAAATATTGTCAAATTAAATTTGTTAAATGTCTTTTGACTCTATTCGGTCATCTTTTCTTGGATCAGTGTGTTTTGCAATGCCTTTCTCCTTGTCACATGACCAAAAAAAACCCCCGCAACTTTTAACTTTAGTATACTAAAATAAAAGGTTGTTTATCCTCTTCTGGACTGTTCCAGAATTGGAGTTTTGCATGTGCATCATCTTTACAGATTTTGCTTATTTGTATACACAGTTTTTATTTCCTCATGGCAGATGCACTCCAATTTCAGAGGAAACACCCCTTATTAGTTGGCTTTTATGAGATGCGTATAAGGGGTCTGTTATGTTTTCCTTGAAATGGGCCCTCGAACCCACACAAATCACATATGACCAGGTGTTTTCTTCTTAGAACCGCTGGCTGCCCACAAGAGCTTTGTGCGAATTATGCACTCTGGCTCCAGCGATGATCCCTGATAAATAATAGCAATTTCTGACAAATAGTTACATTCCAGTTAATCAAGAAGTGAGAAAAAAACAGAAGCACTTTATAGGATTTTATTGACAAAATTTACAGGTAGCTAGAAAGTCCTTGCTTTGGAATCTACAGGACCAAACAAATAAAAATGAAACTTAGAAACACAGGGAGAAAGAATTGGAGACAAAGTTGAATAAATATCAGATGGCATGGTTTGAGCTAAAATTTATGAAAAAGGATAGAATGACATGAGTTGGCCTGTACGTCATTAGTGGAGACAGCTTAGAACATGGCTGTTCAACTAAGTTTATTCTAGGGCCACAATGTTGAAAATGGGGATTGTCATGGGCCAGAGTTCCAAGATCCAGCATAGAAAGGTTACAACTTGTGATGATCCGCAGAGCTTCCATGGGCCAAGTTTGGTCAGCGGGCTGGCATTTAAATAGCCCTGGCTTAGAAGAATGAATAAGATATCTGGGAATACTGCTGTGGTCTCCACTGTTAAATGATTTAATATGTCCCTTTTCACAGTTTTACAGTTATCATAATGTTGAGTTTTGCATGTGTTATATGAACTCTGTTCTCAATTTTGTACAGGATGTTGTCATACAGGAAGAAGATACAATCCGACTGAGGATTGTGGGCACAAGAGTTGATGCTAAAGACATTGTAAGTGTCATTTTGTGCTAAATGATTGTAACTAATTAAAGAGTTGTTTGGTTTGAAGAGACTGAAAATGGAACAAGAGTTGCTAAAAGAGGTTAAAAACAGCAAATAAAATGTGTTGACCACATAAAGAGATAACGCTCTTATAAAAACCATACCGGAGAGAACAGTCGAAAACAACAGAGCAAGAGGTAGGCAGAGATGCAAGTGAGAAGTTAACAGAAAGAGATGGAGGAGCAGCAGTCTGAGATACTTATGCAACTAGCGGGAGAGACAGGTGGCTTATAGATTCATTTTAGCCAGCCTGTGTAGTGGAGATGGCGCACCTGCTTGATTGAAGTGAATGTCTGTATATTTAAAACTTAAATTTAAGTACAATTTGTATGTGTTTTCAACATTTGAAATTATCTAATCAACGTTTGTGTAATAATGGAAACCATTTTCTTTCAGTTTGCGATTGGTACACTAATGGATGATTTCTTGGGTAAGTTTTATATCACATTTTACTCTGCTATTTGTAAATTATTTATGTTTGTGAATTATTAGTGTACCACTCATGCCACGACCTCAATCACTGAAGCTTACAGGAAAATTTGACATCAGCTTTTAAAACGTAATTGGGGTCATAAGGAAACTTCCCCTAAATGCTACATTAGTATTTAATTACTGTATTCAGATACTGCTCTGCTAAACACTGCATAGGCTCACATAGAACCAATGGAATTTAGCAACACATTTTAGAACAGGTCACCGCAGGCATGGTGATATATCGATATTTACGGAACTGTCACAGCCATTGGGGACTGGTTTACTTTTCTCAATGGGACAGGGTTAATCCCACAGTTGCAGATGGCAGTTGTTTTAGTTGTGCCAGAATTTGATTTCTGAAGCGTGTGGTTTAGAAATGCACTGTTACAGACAGAGAGTTTATGTTTCTCACTCTTATGACTACTTTGTTACTTGTACGCATCAGCATCCTAGCACATTGTTCTGACTCATTCATGCTCCATCCTCTGATGCAGCAGCCATCTCAGTGTCTGCATATTTGGCATACCCAGTAGGGGTTGACTGGCATACCTTCTGTCTTTCTCTCTCAGCTGGTTTCTGCATGCTTGTCCTCATTAAAAACCCATCTCCAGGTGGCAGCTCAGTGTCTCTGGAACACCGCACATTCAGTATGTCTGCTCTGTTCAAACTTCTTCTGCCACTAACAAATGCCAACGCGGCCAAACTGTTTACTCTTAATTTCCTTTCACCCTGATATGTACAGCCAAGTTGGTTTCTTGAGGCAGCATTTCTGGATGTTGTCAGCCCATTCTAGTCAGAGTTTTCCAGTTAGAATCTTCTCAAGCAGTCCACTGAGTCTGTCACTATTAATATGTGAGTTGCTTTCTGTTTTGCCAACCATACAAGAGCGCCTAAGACAGTATCATGCTAGAAGTAGTTGAACTGTCTGACTGTCTTTTTTTTATTGCCATGCCTTGAATATAGATACTTGATACTGGAGGTGAAAAAATTGGGGGAAGGGGGGGGAAGGGTGGGCTGACTTGCTTAGGTCGTCCTATTTTCAGCTAAAGATATTGTTGAAAAAAAAATATATATATATAGAGGGAGAGAGAGAGAGAGAAAGAAGAGCACAGTAACAGAAAGTACAACAGAAACTACTTACATTTTAGCTGGGTAATGTCAAATATGTATTCACATAATCAGCTGAAAATTTGTTAGTGAGCTCAACTAGCATATTCTTCTTGTCAACCCAGTATGTTAGCAATATTCTTCTTGTCAACCCAGTATATCTGCAATGTTATCCTTGTCCTTTAAGTATTTTGCCTCTGTGGCTTAGACACTGCGCGCACGCTTCGTAATGCTGGGGTGCTGTGTTTGATCCCAGCTGTGTGCATGTGCCTTGCATTGGTTTCGACAATGGTATCGAGAAGCTGACCTTCCGGGAAGCAGTGGTAAACTCCTGGATGTAAGTTTGCCTTGAAAAACTACAACAGCCAAAAAAATGCTGGGGTTGGTTCTGTAACATCCTGTAAAGGATACACAACTATTTTTTTTATTCAGTATATTAGCAATATTATCCTTGTCCACCCAGGATATCTGCAGTATTCTTCTTGCCTGCCCAGTATATTAGCAATATTCTTCTTGTCCACCCAGGATGTCCGCAGTATTCTTTTTGTCCACTCAGGATGTCCGCAGTATTCTTTTTGTCCACCCAGGATGTCCGCAGTATTCTTTTTGTCCACCCAGGATGTTCGCAGTATTCTTTTTGTCCACCCAGGATGTTCGCAGTATTCTTCTTGTCCACCCAGTATATTGTCAGTATTATCCTTGTCCACCCAGTCAGTATATTTGTAATATTATCCATGTCCACCCAGTATATTAGCAGTATTTGTCTTGTCCACCCAGTATATTTGCAATATTATCCATGTCCACCCAGTATATTAGCAGTATTTGTCTTGTCCACCCAGTATATTTGCAATATTATCCATGTCCACCCAGTATGTTAGCAGTATTCTTCTTGTCAGTTCTTTCACAATTATTCATCCCAAACACGGGAAATCCATGGAAAATCAACAGCTGACGGGACAGTCAACTATTTCAGGGGGTGGTATCATGTCATTTGCCGTGAAATTTTGAGTTTTGTGAGCTTCCTTTGCTGGTTATTGCTGTGTAATTGTCTGTGTGTTGGTGCACAATTGGCTTGTGTAAAATACTGGTCCTGTTTTCAGATATTATTTTCATGTGGATGTCTGGTGTAGTTGGTATCATCACATCTGCCTTACAATTGAAAGGTCCTACCCAGAAAAAAAAACAACCTTGTTTGCCAGCTGTTTGCGATATCAAGTGTTCTATATTCAGTTATAATACTGCTAATGTACAAACACAAGTGGCTGGAGACAACCACTAGTTGCGGGAGAGAAGACGCTGCCGAAAACAAGAAGGACCCCCAAGCCTTGGCAATGCGCGCCACAGCCTTGGTAACGCTTCAAAACGCTTCTTATTCAGCTGTGCCATTGCCCAGCAGATGGAGAATGCCTTGTGTAAGCCCCTTATGGTCTGAGGTATTACATTGACATTTTTCTTTGCATACACTGACTATAAACTCCGGAGGAAAGTTCTGGTTGTTCATCCACTTCTGGACTTTGGTCTTATTCCAGAATTTGAGTTCTGCATGCACATCCAATTGACAGATCTGGCTGATTTGTAAGTAGAATGTTGGTTGCTGCCTCTCATGCAAATGTACCCTGACTTTGAAGAAAGCACCTTTAATTTGTCCACTTTATAACAACATGCTTTTGATGGGGGAGTAGTGGGAGCAGTTCACACCCCCCCCCCCCCCCCCCCCCCCCCCCCCCCCCCCCCCCCCCCCCCCCCCCCCCCCCCCCCCCCCCCCCCCCCCCCCCCCCCCCACCTCCATACACACACAAACATTAGGACCCGGGAACCCACATGGGGGTAGGGGGGTATTACATTGATAATGTTAGCCATATTTTTTTTTCTTTGCAGGTGTTCTTTGATGGTTTTTCTGGACATTAAGCCTGTTACTTTAGATGACAAAACAAGAAACAAGATCGAGTAGTTTTGTGAGGCGAAGAAAGACATTTTAAAACTGTGTAATGACTGGAAAAATCAGCAACAGAAGAGGCAGAGCCAAGAGAAATAATAGAGGATGCCTTTTCAAGCATGTAAGGCATGGGGAAATATCAGTGGAATTTATCCATAGCACCATATGTTATTACCGTTTGTGAAGAAACATCATTTAGGAAAGCACAAGATGGCAATCACAGAGATCAGTGCGGCCTGAACCACAAGAAACACTGCAGTGCCTACATTAACAATACTGGTGGTTATATCTGAATGCATTTTAAAGTGTGTGCTGTGCTGTTGTCTTCTTAGTTGTTTGTCATGCATTGGCATTTGTAAATAGATCCCATTAAACTGTTTCATTTGAATTTCGCCACTTTGTCATGGTATTTGATTTCTTTCTGGTCTGTATAAGTTCCATTGTTTATTGTTCTGTTTTTCTGTTTTTTTGCTGTTAATCTTGTATCTAATCTTCTCCTTGTTAGTTATGCACATTTTTATCCTTTCATCTGTATCAATTCCATTTTTGGTTAATCGTTAAAAAAAAATTATCGTCTATATCATGCCATGGGGGGGGGGGGGGGGGGGGGGGGGGGTTTTTTTTCGTTTACTTGTTTAAAACAGTGCTTTTGTGTGGTTATGATGTTTAAAGAGCCTCTGCGGGTTGCAGGGTTCCATTCTAAAGAACAAATCATAGACCTACTACCCCACATCCTGACAAGCATGTCATAGAAGGCGACTTTTAATGACATTTCCTTCAAAGTCATCTGCCTGAGACAGGGAACCAACAGACTGCATACTTAATTATTTGGGTTATCATCATTGCACTCTGGACATGTCCATAGGTACTCCGATCCTCCCCTCAGTATGAACCCCAACGTCCCATGGCTAATAGTACCAGTTCTATGTTGATTAACAAGTCTTCTGGTGTGTCTGATGTGCGTCTTGTTTTTTTGCTATGCCGATCCTAATTCCCAAATCTGCCATTCTGGTGAGTAGTAATACAACACAGCCAGAACTTCAAAACGGATGTACACACAAAACTCAGTTCTGAATCAAGACCAAAGTCAACAAATGGACAAACAACCAGAACTTTCTGCCAGAGTTTACAGCTAGTCAGTGCTAAGATCTCAAGTATCGATCTCAAGTATCTATTCTACTGTTTGTTTTTAATTTCTTATCTTGACTTTAAAAAAAAAATTAATTTTCAGTCATTGACTACATCATTTATTGATGTATAACATAAGTAAAAATTGCGCGTATTGGAATTCCCTGAGTGCTATGATGTCAATTCTTAACTCAACTCAAGTAAAAAAAACATTTTTACATGACTGGCTCATCAACATAGGTTATAGACTTATTTTCACTAAATGGGCAGTGTGGTCAACATATGCCAGCTGGCAGTATCTCTGAGAACTGCCCCTCACACAGGTAAGTTAATTGTATGTCCTTTACAGGATGTTGCAGAACGAACCCTATCATTCCTTTGGCTGTTGCTATTTTTCTAGGCAGTTTTACATTCAGTAGTTTGCTATTGCTTTCTATTCAGCTGCAGCTGGGGTTAAACCCAGGACCAAAAAAAAAAGGTTTTATATGGGCTTGCACAGTGAGAGGAAAAATAACAAGGCACAGTTTCAGTGAGGCTTTTGGAATGTTTCCATATCTTCTTTTACTTTCGCCTTTAAAAGGGTGGTTGGCATGTTATGTTGTGGTGTACAGCTAGGCTGCATTATGAAGCACATATGCAACGCCTAAGCCACAGACGCTGACCCCCTCTAACAAGCATGTTGTTCAAGGGGACTGATAAGAAGTTTGCTGAAACTGGTTGCGTTTGGCCCATAGGTGCAGATCTCACTGCCTAGCTGTAAACTACAACACAACAGGATAGATACC